ATGCAATGCATATTTCAGCAGAACATAAGGGATGGCCATATAGGGATTGGAGCGAGGTGGGAGTGCGGATATGCGCACCTTACAGGGGTTGACTTTCAAGAGGCGCTCGCAGTGCCTCTCGACATATTAAAGGATATTAATTAAAAACATTTTCACTTATTAAAAGAGCAGTCGTCGTGGGGGCCAATGGGAGTGGAAGTGGAAGTGGATGTGGGAGTGGGGCACCTGCAGCAGCTCCAGCAGCAGAAGCAGCAAAGGGGAGGATTAGCACAAGGCATTGTTTGGCCGGAGTTAGCAAGCTAATCTATTACCAATTGCCGCAGGCACCCGCAGCTTTTCCACCAGAAATTAGCTTCGTTAGGCAGCAATTCCGGCCAGGCTAATTTGAGCCCGATCCGAACTGACGACTGGCACAGGACAGACAGACCGCCAGGCACTCCTTGCCAGGCCCAAAGATCGCCATTGGCGGAGAACAGCAATCACATAATACGTGTGCAGGACCATAACATAAATTTAAATGATAATAGCGAAAACATGCATTGCCAGATACTTTGTTGCTAATTGCAAGCGAGGACGACTGAGGTCTAATTGAAATACAACACGTCGCGTACTGGACTGGACCGTTCCTCCGCTCCCGCGGAAGACTGCTGGCTGGAGAGGGCTTCGGGTCCGTCTCCTGGCAAGTGAACTTGTTTCTCTTTTGGCGCTGCGCTAACCAGACACCATTTATCATTGCCGGCCGAACGGGGAAAACTAGATTTCTCTGCCGCTGACCGAGTACAGACCACGACGGCAGCTACTAGAGTTGACTTGGAAACGCTGGCAGTCTTCGCTGACGCTGATGTTCACTGTTCGACGGGGTTGAGATTTTACGAAAATTAATTTTAATTACCCAACGATGTTGTCGCCAAAAGCCGCTAAAGTTTCTGCTCTGTCATTTTGTCGTAGACAACGAATCAATAACAATTTTACAGGCATTTCCGCTTCTAATTAGACGCTGCTATTCTGCCACAATTTTGGATAAGCATCTAGGCTTTGGGAACTATCAATAGTAGATGCAAGAGATTACAAAACTAATTAATGTTATGTCACATTTTATTCAACTAATCAATTAATATATAATGAAATAAAAAAAATCCAAAAAGGTGAACAAATTGTGGTAGGACGAACTTTTATTTTAATCTTTGGGCATAGTTTTGAACTAACCAAACTCAAAAAATATTTATTATCACCATTAAAGAATTAAAAATGTTTTGTACCCTGAAATTAAAGTTTCCAACGTACATATATAAACTTTTAAAGAGGATCTAATAAAATGCAACGTAAAATATTATAATCAGTGTGTTGTAGAAGTTAGACCCTAATCGTTTCAACATCTTGATAAATCATGTTTTTCTTATTTATAGCTTTTTTTTAAGCGATGTCAAAATTTAAGGTATTATTCATATTGTTCTCTTGCTAAACTGATAAGTATGGTAAAATTTTGATTGGATTTTTAAATATTAATTTTTCACATTATGATAGGCTCTTATATAAATTGACCCATCTATCTGATGTCACCTGCAGGATAAGGTAATTCAATTCTGATAGATTTATAAAACTATTTTAAAATCGCAAAAATATATACATATGTATGTTAATAACGATGTATATATAATATGTATATTTATATACATGTGTTCTCAATTAACTCTGAGCTCTAAAACAAGAAAGGAACCTAACTTCGGCACGCCGAAGTTTATATACCCTTGCAGATAGAACTTGAATGACTAAGAATTAGTACAATATTTACATGTTAAAAAACAATAAAGTAATGCCTGCTTTCATTTCTTTAACCTGTACATATTAAATTTACAGTTTTACATTTACAGTTTTGCATTTTCCTCCATATCTAACGATCATTTGTATGGCAGCCATATGATATAGTAGTCCGATTTGTATTAAGTTTTAAACAAAATTTTAGAATAATAATATAATAATATCCTAAATTTGATAAAAATCTGTTATATGGTTTTCTATGGTTCTTGATCAGCATCAAGAGCTGATTCTAGCTACGGGAACTCCTCAGTTTTGGAGTTACATATCAGAATAAAAATGTTCAATTCATTTGTTTCTATTGTAGAGAGTATATATTTGTAGGGCTACAACCCTTAATATAATACTGTAAAGCTAAAACTTCAAATACAAAATGAGAAATTGATATGTAAGATTTTCAACATACATATAAATATGCATAAAACCAGAGATAGTTTTTTTTACGATTTTATAATAATGTTCCAAATTTTATCTTCTGTATTATATATATAGAAAAAACAGAAAAGGTTCAATGTTTTCAGACAAAATTGTACAGAAATTACACAAGCAATTATATACTGTGCAACTTAAGATAAAGTTCATATTTTTTCCCATTTCTAAAACTTTAACATTTTCTCAAGACATAACTACCCTTTAAAATTAAAATATAAAACAAGAAAGGAAGCTAATTTCGCCACGCCGAACTTTGTATACCATTATATACCATTGCAGATTGCAATTCGATCATTAATAATTAATACAATATAAATAATTTATATTTGTGTTTTAAGTTATGCCTACTTTTATTACATTCTCGTATACATATTTTATTTAAAGTTTCCTCTATATTTAACGATAGTTTCGATGGCATCATATAAGAGTGAAACGAAAATTCTTAAATTAATAATCTTAATCTTTGCTATATCTCAAACAAGATAAATATATGTTAAAACAAGAAAAATTCTAGAATTATACAATGGCAGCTAAATGATATAGTCCCCGATCCGGCCCGTTACGACTTGTATAACTTCTGACTTAAATTACAATACCCTGCAAGAATACTTTACTTTAGAATATTGATTTGATATTTTCATTTCTATAACTATTGTATAACTAAAGACGCGCTCCTCCATACCCAAAAGATGTTTAAAGGAGTTGGGGAGGTGTCGCTTCTCCCCGCGAGGCGTGCCGCTCTGGCAAGCAACCAACTGACTCAGAAACGAGTTCCGTTTCAAAACCAAAACAAAAGATTCTGTTGTTCGCTTTTTCCAAACACACAAAGTTCAAAATAAGAGCATAAAAACGCATTAATAAAAGTAAAACCTGTTCCCTAGGCAAATATGCAAGGCATTACACGGAAACTGTGAATCAGGCGAAGAGGAGGCACGAAGGCAAACACTACAGTGCAGCAAAGCAAGAAGAGAGAACAGGGCGTCCAGACCCACAGTGGGGGCGAAATAAAACAAACTGCATTCCAAAAACTCAGTCAAATGCAAAAAAAAGCAGTGAGGCAGCTCCGCAGCACGAGACAACTTTAAACTTCTAAAGAGGGCAACAAAACGAAGCCCGGTGTGGCGTGGCGGGGAAAAGCGACCAAAAAGAAATCCGGTTTCATTTTCAACCAGAGCAAGGGCTCGGGAACGTCCCTCTGCGGTGCACTGCAGCTTTATTTATTGCTTCGTTGTGGCTCTTCGCTCGCTCGCTGCGCCGTCCTGCGAATAGATGCAGAAATTAACCGCCGATGCGCGGGAGGACAGGAAGATGAGGAGGTGAGGTTGACCGAAACTCTGCCAGGACGGACTGCCTGAGAGACGAACTTGAAATTTAGATTTCGAGAGCGCCGCGGTGAAGTCGCCGCAGCCAGCGTGCCAGCAGCGGAGAGTCAATGTGGAGAGCTTAGCGGACGCAGAAGCTCATTCCAGATGGCGTTCACGTGTTCCCGTTCTCTCTCGCCAGTGCGAGTGTTAGTGAATGCAGTATCCACGAACTTCGCTGCTGCAGTTTTTATGGCCGGGTTGAACTTGTGGTTGTGCGCCACCAGCTCTCTTTCTCTCTCTCTCTCTCCCACTCTCCCTCATTTTCTGGGAGCCATGGAGAACCTTATTGATTTTTATTGTACATGCACAAAAGGGCGAAATCGCATGCGATTTTCCTCACAATGCCAAAACTTAATCTCCGAAGGTGCTGCACCTAATGCGTCCGTTAGACGATTGTGCAACAAATCCCTTAAAGCCTCCAAGGTGCGCAGCAACCGAAGTTCGAGGTCGTTGATCAGTCGCACCTCCGTCCTCATAGGCATTTCTCCTGCAAGGAGTTTCTTGCCCGAAATCTCAAATATGTACATTTGTACATATATAGAACAGTAGGAGGAAAAGATAAAAAAGTGAAATTTGTTCAAAGTGACTGCAGCTGCGCACTTTTTGTAGCTGCCTTGGGTGGTGGAGTGGACCGTCGGTTTTTGGTGAATTAAGGGAAATGACACGGGCGAAGCTTTGCAAACCTGGCTAATTACAAAAGTATAACAAAGGCGAATGGAAAGGAGAGTAGGTTATGTCTCTTTCGGATGAGGGATACATCAATCAATACCATGCAGTTATTTGTAAACATTTCTAAAAATATATATAATAGATATTTAATGTGCTGTTTATATCCTTTTATCCTTTCAACAAGGAGGATGTCTTACAAACGGAATAATTGCCGTTGCGGAAAATAGGGAAACCTTAGATTACACCCTTAGACTTTTGCCATCGACCTTTATTGCCTGACGTCGTAATAGCGAGCTAGAGGCTCTCAAATTGAAGTGTAGATCCCCTGTAGCACTATCCCCTAAAAAAACATTTCTGATTTAGCGAACAGATCTCACATCTGTAAAGAAATGGTTGGAGAAGAATAATCTCAGAAGATTGAAACTTTGCTGGTCAAAGTAGGCCCAAAGATGAAGGAAACAGGTGAACAGGAAACTCCAGATCTCTTGGGAAAATTCGGAAAGTATCGTCAACATCGTTTCCTTTTACTTTCACCATCAGATCAGGAATCTTATAGATTTAACTGCTAGAGAAAATCTACCTCATATCAGTTCTTAGTTTGGTTGATCATCCTGTGGCTGACAAGTATCTAGGCCGTTTAGTTTGAGCTACTCAGAACGGCCCTGTCGTAGATTACACTATTCCCACTAGCCTTCTTTTATCATCAAGTTCATTCAGACAAGGTTTTATTTAGGTGGATTCGGAATATATTTGTGCTCGAAATGATGATGCCCCGCAAGAGTAAAAGCTTCTTTTCATTGACATCTAGGCTGTTTGTCTTTTTAGCGAAGTCCTCTTTGTTTTTTGGGGGTCACTGGGGGAAGTTGAGCTAAATCCACGTTATATATCCGGAACTCAACATTTCGGCGCCGCACGTTGAGCGTTCCCACAACGCAGTAGAGCAGCCCCTGAAGATGTTTAATCAAAAGAACGTAGGAGGCACCCATATTGTCGGGAAAAAGAGGCTTGCCCCATGCGTAGCAATCAAAAAAGAAGTAGCCGCCGTCGAGACTCGAGCTATATCCAAAGGCGTAGTACCTATCCTCGCACTGCAGCACGCCAGATTGATAGCGTGTGAAGAAGTATTTGAAGCCCTCGAGCAAGCTCATGGTAGCACTGGCTGGGTCACTGTACATGTACCCGAAGGCCACGAGCTCCATCTGCACCAGGTAGCGAAGGTCCTGAAAGTCGCACTGGGCACACATGTCGTCCACACCCAGGGGCAGCTCCCATTGTTGGCTCTTCTCCACACTAGCGCGGTAGTAGCGATCCCCATTAAGTACGATCGCGTCGAGCAGCTTCCCGCTCCAGTGGCCAAGGTGGCAGAAAGTGCTGGCCACGCAGCACGCCACCACGCAGCAACCTAGAGCCTGACGGCCCTGCAACCTTTTGTCGAATATAGGCGCCTTTGGATGCAGCCCACCCCAAAGGGACCATACCCGATCCGGTATCTCTACGTCGAACTCTCGATACCGATTACTGCCGCGATACCGCTGGCTGCCCTCCAGGTTGGAGCTTAATCGCCGGCTCCAGAAGGGCAAGGAATTTTTCGGGGTCAGCCAGGTTATCGATTCACTGCCCGCCGTCAATGGGACAGACTCTTGCAACAGTCGTAAGACCCTTTCCTTGGTGTCGCATGTTTCGCTGTTCATTCTCCGCCTTTTGTCTAGTAACCTTCCAGAGACAGATCACGGATCGGGTCTTGGCGATGGGTACATCCCTCAAGAGGACCTACAATTCCGGAAATTTGGGAGGTTGTACTCCTAACTGGTATCGAAATTGGCACTTCCCCCATAGCATACTTTATTTTCAGTAGAATAAAACAAAATGGCTAAATCTCAAATTTAACAATCGGTTGAAAACTAAAAAGTAATCATATTTTTTCTAAAAATGTTGCAATCGTTCCAATGACAGTTACATGATATAGTCGTCCAATCCGGCCCGTTTCGACTTATATACGAGGAGAGTGCAAAGTTTTATTATAGATAGATAGCTTCAAATATACGCCGCATAAAAAATGTGTTTACATATATATATTTTACTATTTTACGGTTACGGTTAGTTTTAATTTTCATTTATAGGTAAGGCAGTCGGTGTGACCAAAGCAAAATTATGTAGCTGATCAGAATGTTGTCAGCGAATACGGTAGCTTAGGCTCTTATAATCTATGAGATATGTTTCATAAACGGATGTACAAATAGAGAGAAGGAAATACATAGCTAAATCGACTTGACTGGTGATGCTATAAGATAAGCTACCAAATTTGAAATACAGAAAATATTTCTGTAAGTTCTTGCACTAAGTTACTTACAACTTTTCTCGTGTCCTTTGACTTGACATGACTAGATCAAATTGACTGTTGATGCTGATCAAGACTAAAACTATAACATCCTGCTAGGTCACATATATCTTTATATATATGACTACAATTTTATGATATCGAAACGAAAATACTTTTTATTGCTAATTTAATTAAAAATAAATGGAGCATGCCTTTTTAGCAATATATATTTGCTGATGTACTTTGGATTTACACCACAAAAGACTTGGAATTCGTGGTGCATTCAGTTGTGGAAGGAATGAGCCCGCTGCTTATTTTTGTCTTCGTCTTTAGCCGCCATAAATAGTTGTCTCCGGGCCCAACGAAATTCATTCTCCAACTCGCTAAGCCTATGCCCGATTCTATCCCGCATTACCGAAAGGGTCACCATTTCGTGTTCCACACTCTCCTTGCTGACGAGACTACGTCTAAAATTTTCAGAAAACTCTTCTAAGGTTTCGTCCAGGTTGAGGATCTTAGATTCGAGGCTTTGAACCTTTCTGCGCAGATACTTAGACTGACTTTTAAGGTCGTATACAGGCACGCTGATGTCAGAAGAAGGCACTTCAACATGGAATTGCGATTTAGTCTCTGGATTTTGTACATAGTGCCTGTGAATTTTAAGTAGGTTAGATCGAAAATTCGACCAGTCCACACTATCGGGATCCTTCTCAACTTCGGTGGTAAATTGGTTAATGTCGCCTATTAGCTTAATAATCTCATCATCTCGATGGCCGACTTCAGTTGAAAGTTCCTCTTCAGGATTTTCCTTGTCGTTCATGAGATTAGGAATCTTCAACTCAACCTCTGAAATAATCTTAGCCGCGAGCTCACTATTACGGTCCACACTATCAGGATTCCTCCCAACATCGCTAGCAAATTCTTTAATGTCGCCTATGAGCTGATCATCAACTCGATTGTCGTCTTCGGTTGAAAGTTCCTCTTTAGGGGTTTCTTCGTCGTTCATGAATTCAGGAACCTCCAACTCAACGTCAGAGACATTCTTGGGCTCAACACCCTGCTCCCGAAAAACTGACTGACCTTCTCCTGGCTTCGTCATGCCCTTTCGTAAACGAAGCTCATTATCCTTTTTCAGGATTCTCTTAAGGCCCTTGACATTTGTGCTCAACTTGCCGATAAACTCATTTCGCATTTCATTGACTATTTCCGCGATTCCCCCAGATCTGAAGCACTAGTTAAGCATCTCGAACAGTCGCCCGTCTCATCCACAGCTTTCTGATCGAGAGAGTCGTAGTCGATCCAACCCTTCTGAGGAGCGTGATTACAGATTAGCGATCTCTGGAAAGTTGTGTACTAACCTCCACTAAAAAATCAAGGTGGATGGCATCTGAGCAAAGATCAGAGGAACCAGTCAAAGTCATTTCGCTCCAGGTCGGCTTCAGGGTGAGCAGACTTTCTGATGGCTTCGCATCCCCCTCGGGCCGTCGCCATCTAACTCCACGGAGGCATCGTCGGTAGGCAGTTCACTTTTCATTTCCATTATACAGACAATTTAGTATTTATTAACAACGATCGTGCGTACCAAAATCAGCTCCGAAATATAACTGATATATTGCTTAGATCACAAGCTCGAACCCAGGGCTCTTTGCTCTCTCCCAGCCCCCGTCGGTGGGCCGTGATTGTGGTGTGTCTGAGATCGTGATAACCGACCCGGGAGCTTAGTTAGTTTAATTAAGTTCGCGTTGCTGCATCGCATTAGCACAACCAATAATTTGTGCCATCGTAAACACGTCGTAAATTTTGCACTCGCAAAGTCAGCCCTTTATTTTCTGCAGAAGACAAGAGGTAAGCATCTCTTCAGCAAGAAGTAATTACAGTCCATTAAATACGCAGCGTTTTCTCCGGTGCTTCATTTTCTTCATACTTGGCGTATTCGAGATAAGTGCCACTTGCCGGTGGCCAACTTCTCCCCTTCTCCTTTTCTGCAATTGTTACCTGTGATGAAAACGTTTCGCATTTCTCTACCGCTCTTCGGCACTTAACGGTCTTCTTCTTGCCTAACCTATATATTGAGTTAGTCTGTTGTGCTCAAAAAGAATCAGATATATGTATGTAGGTCATTATCTACGAAGGATATTTCAAGACACATTGACTTATAAGGACTATGCTGAACTTTTGCATAAGAGGGATATTGTTAATTTTCATCTCATCTATTTCCATTAATTGTCATCGCTATAGCTGTACGCAAAGTATATTGTGAATTAAAGAATTAGGACATAGTCAAAGGAATGATTCTTTTGGAACATATATCTTTAAAACCAGTCCTTCAACGGTAAACTCGAATACGGCTTGCCACTAAACAATTTTAATAAAAATAATATTGTTTAAATTTTGTATAGAATAAATTAATAGAGGTCGGTTAAATTATTTAACTTTAAAATTAAGAAAAACTTTGAGAATGTTTATAATAAATTGATAAATTCAATGGCTCATTGATAAAAAAACAGCAAAAATTTTATTAAAACAGCTATTATAAATAATTTTTCTTCCAAGACATTTAACATCATTAGTTTTTGTCATCGCATTTCTAAACACAATTCATAGAAACCGCATTTAATATCCAGTAGAAGAATCCTATTAGCCATATAGTACTTTAAACTTCGGACATCTATTAGAGTCTTGGCGAAGGTCAGAGATACTGACTGAAAAAAAGATAAGGATGACAATATTTGAAAAGAAGATATTTGGTCGGAGGTGCCTCCTTCAGTGCGTTGCAAACTTCTAACTAAAATTATAATACCCTGCAAGGGTAAAAAAATAATGATAAAAACAAGAAAGGAAGCTAACATCGGCACGCCGAAGTTTATATACCCTTGCAGATAGAACTTCGATGACTAGGAATCCATACAATATAAAATATATATAGTAATTTTAAAAAACAATGAAGTGATACCTGCTTTCATTTCATTCACACATACATATTATATTTTCAGTTTTACATTCACAGATTTGCATTTTTGCTCCACATCTAACGATCGTTTGTATGGCACCTATGTGATATAGTCGTATATATAAAATGTGACACAAAATTTAAGACTGATATAAAATGGCTATATCTCAAATTTAATGAAAATCTGCTGAAAACTGAAAACGTTATAATTTTTAATTATATTCATTTTTTGATCGTTCATGTGGCAGCTATGTGATATAGTAGTCCCGTTTTTTATAACTTTACTCAAAATTGTAGATTAAAATAAAATGGCTATATCTGATATTTGATGAAAATCTGGTGAAAACTGAAGAAGTTATAATCTTTCATTTTATTAATTTCTTTTATTTCTTATAAAATGGCTATATCTCAAATTTGATGAAAATCTGTTTAAAACTGAAAATGTTACACTTTTTAATTAAATTAATTTCTCGATCGTTCCTATGGGAGCTATATGATATAGTGTCCAATTTTCATAAAATTTAACACAAAATTGTAGATTAATATAAAATGGCTATATCTTAAATTTGATCAAATTCTGTTGAAAACTAAAAATGTCATAATTTTTCTTCCTATGGCAGTTATATGATATAGTCGTCAGATCCGGCCCGTTCCGACATAAATACGAGTGAGAGTATATAGAAGACTAACTGCAAAGTTTCATTCAGATAGCTTAAAAACTGAAAGACTAGTTTCCGTAGAAACGGACAGACGGACATGGCTAGATCGACTCGGCTGTTGATCCTCATCAAGAATATATATACCTTATATGGTCGGAGGTGCCTCCTTCACTGCGTTGCAAACTTCTGACTGAAATTATAATACCCTGCAAGGGTATAAAAAAAAAGGAAGAAAATTTTACAAAATGACAAAAAATTTTGATGTAGCAAATAAGCATTACCAAATTTGGTAGATTATATTTACATATAATATATATATATTAATAAGAGTAAAAACCAGTCTTGTACCCTATTTTGAAATGATACAGATACACGAAAGGAATAAAAAAATCGATATTCCATAATCACATAGATTAGAAAGATCTCGAATTATTATTGATAGCCTCGGATCTAAAATGAAAGTATGGAACTTCGTTAAGGGATTTCTCTTGGTGGTCTATCTTTTCTAAGTTTTAGATCCGCTATTAACACATTTTACACAGGCATTTCTCCTTGTTGGTTTTCACCAAAATGAATAGGCAAGTTCGTGACACCAAGTGGGCAGGACAGCAAAGTTTGGCGGCAAGCTGGCTTCAAATCCAGTTTTAGCTCAGGTAACGGTCAACAAGTTGCGATCAAATTTCGAGTCCGGTCTACCAAATGACAATAATGTGAAACCAAATAAAACAAATTGAAACTTTCCAAATTGAAATCTTTGGACTCAAAAAAGTTCATATAAGGGGCCAATTGTTAATTGTTATCCTGTTGCCTACTGCCTTCATGGGTTACATCGTTATTTAGGAAGAAATTGGTTAATCTCGGCATGTCTTAGGTCTCCAAGTTTGTATTTAAACCTCTTAATGAAATAATAATCCAATTTGAATCAAAAGCTTACGTTTTAATTTTGAAAATATTTGTAACAATTTAATTTTATATATATGTACTCCAGGAAAAAAGGAAATAAACAACCAGAAAATTAACCAAAGCAAGCTGAGCTTAAAACTGGGATAGTACGAATCCAGGCAGTGACAATGGCTCCGCATGATGCCTGTGGTCTCAAGTGACAACCCTCGGGGACGGTGGCAACACTTGAGTTAACACGCCGCCGGAAAAGGGCACGTGGCAGGCAGGTTTGTCCACGCTTTATTGACCTCCTGTCAAGTGGCTAATTAGGTCTGGCCCACTCTGGGAGCCACTCTCTCAGAAAAGGCATATCACCTTTTTTTCGCCTGAAGCAAGAGCTTCAGAGCTTGTGGCGTGTCGACCAAGGCAACTATTTCTTCAAGTATGTGGTGCACAATTCCACTGGCTGTGGTAATTCTTTCTACAATAGTATTATGTACCTGCGAGTTCCAGTCAATCCGCTTCCCCGCCTTCCGTTGCATGCGAACTAATTGAAAAGCTGCGTGTCTCAGGCTTGTTTCGGAACATGAGACCTTTCTTGGCGATCGGGATCGGGATTGGGCTCAAGATCCAAGCTGGTACATGTGTGGTATTATCGTACTGACAGTTGCCAATGAGAATAACTGACACCTTACATCAGCCCAAGTATTCATGTAGTCCTATTTTACCTCTCTCCTATTTTCTGGGCATTTGATTGTGCATCCAGAGATGGAAATGTAGTTGCAGAAAGCTCAGATGGAGACGGAACCCTCAGCCCATTCAAATGCAATTATCCTGAGCCACACGCTTCCGTGTCAGCCCTCGCCGTTAGTGACCATGACGGACCCAAATACCAACGCATTGTCTGGCTAATGAGTGAGCCGCATTCCTGCAACTCACGGCCGGAGAAGTGTGCGCAGCACTTTTTATTCTCCCCGCCATAAATCAAATCGCGACCCCGCCAACACCTGTCCATAGTCGACTCCAAATGAAGTAGTTACCAGTTGAATTGCAGGCAAAAGGCAGTAGTTCATCACCATCATCGTCGCCATGATGCAGGGAATTTGATTCACGCCCGCCAGGAATGTCTGCAAAAGAGCCCAGGTCCAGCCCCAATACACTGGCTCCGACTTTAGCAGCAGCTGCTCCGCATCCCGGAGACGCGCATAAGGCGATAATTAGCGCGCAATTGCCGTTAACGCCGCCTTTGTCTATTTCTGTCACTTCTTGTCCAGGTGCGGAGGGATATTGAGTCAGCAGATCGGCGTTAGCCAGGAACGTGACAAGCAGCACAATGGAAGTCAATCAGGGAGTTGCGGTGATGATCACCAGTAGTGATCGGCAGAGTACAGTAGTAAACACAAGTATACCCTACTCACACTACTTACAGTGCAAAGGCATAACTCTTAGCCACTTTATCGAGTCCCACGCGCCAATTGCAATGTGTGTATGCAGTGCATATTCATACATACATACATACATTCATAGTATATGTAAAAATTGAGGCTGCATAAATTATAAATAATAAAATAAAACGCACTAAAAGCGAAAATAAATCACGAGGCAGCTCCTGCAAACCGGGCGGGCACAAGGAAATCTCATGGCTAGCTTCCAGCTACCAACTATCAACTACCGTCTCCTTGGCCTGCGCGAATATTAATTGTGAGTGCACCGGTCGCATCAATTCCGAGAGTCAGAGTCCACACAAATCCCGCGGATGAGCTTGGGCAGGAGCTGGAAGCAGCAACGCCTGCCACGACTCTGGAGCTGGAAGCAGCAACGCCTGCCACGACTCTGGAGCGGCCTCCGATTGCCATTGAAATATGACGCCCAGTTTTCAGCATGGATATGGATGTGGACACCGCTGTAGTTCCGAGAATAGCCGCAGACATGGGCGGCAGCCTCGATTTGTGCAAATGAGCGCCAGATAGCTGCATGCGAACCAGATTAGAATTTGACGCAATTACGCACCTCCAATTCCAGCTACAGCTCTAGCACGAGCTCCAACTTCAGACAATGCCACGGAAAACCAATTCTTGACAGTAGATTGGATGCTAGTTTGGCCAATAAACAAAGGCAAAACGGTAATCAACCTCTAAAACAGTTGGTCCCCGTTTGGGCTACCGGCTCCAATGCTAATGATGCTGAAGCTGCATTCCCTGCTTCCTTTCTCGGCCCAAACGCAGTTGCTCTGGCAAAAAATTATTTATGCACAGAGGGAATTGAGGAGAGCGAAAATTAACTCAATTTGAGGAAAAATAAACTCTTTTTATACCCTTGCAGGGTATTATAATTTCAGTCAGAAGTTTGCAACGCAGTAAAGGGGCACCTCCAACTATATAAAGTATATATATTCTTGATCAGAATCAAAAGCCGAGTCGATCTAGCCATATCCGTCTGTCCGTCTGTCCGTTTCTACGCAAACTAGTTTCTCAGTGTTGAAGCTATCTGAAAGAAACTTTGTAGTTAGCCTTCTATATACTCTCACTCGTATATATGTCGGAACGGGCCGGATCGGACGACTATATCATTTAGCTGCCATAGGAATCATCGGAAAATTTTTACAAAAAAAATTATAGCATTTTCAGTTTTTAACAGAATTTAAATTTAAGATATAGCAAATTTAAGATATAGCCATTTTTTATTATTCTACCATTTTATGTAAAATTTTATGAAAATCGGACAACTATATCATATAGCTCCCATAGGAACGATCGAAAAATTAATACAATTAAAAATTATTACGTTTTCAGTTTTCAGCAGATTAACGTCAAATTTGAGATATAGCCATTTTATATCAGTTTTAAATTTTGTGTCAAATTTTATGAAAATCGGGCGATTATATCATATAGGTGTCATACAAACGATCGTTAGATGTGAAGCATAAATGCAAATCTGTGAATATAAAACTGCAAATATAATATGTATCATATGATATAGGTGAATGAAATGAAATGATATAAACTTCGGCTTACTTTCTTGTTTACTCATGTGCTACACATAAAAAATACGGCAGAAAAGTATACAATTTCAAAAATGCTTAAATGGAGAATTTTTATTGACTCACCAAATAATAATTCTTTAATTTAAATTTCCCAATCAGGGAAAAAGTCTTTTCATCAAAAATATTGATCAGCATCAACGGGTAAATCGATTTGGCATATAACTTGATACGCATAATCTTTGGTTGGATGTACCAATTTTCTTACCAAATAAGGTATTTCTTGAAGGTGCAGTTATCAAGTATTATGATATTAAATTAAGTTGGTATAAGAAATTCCTATAAGTAATATTCCAATTGGAAATCTAGAAAAATCAGAAAAAGTCAGTTGAGGCAAATTCGACCCCCTAAATATATTACATATATTTAGCATCACCAGCCGAGACGATTTAGCTAATGCCGTTCTTTCCGCCCGTCCGTCTGTGTGAATCCAGACTACAAAAGGTAGACCTACCTATCTATGTACCTATGTACTCATGTACCTTACTACCTACCCACCTCATTAGTCCTTTGCCACTATTTTCAATATTTTCAGCATAATTTCACAAATTCACCTTGTCCGAGTGTTTTAGGTATTAATAATCAAATTTCTAACTCAAATGTAGTTTCATGAATTTAGTTTCATTACTTTAATACATTGTAAATATTAATATTTATCACTGAGTTTAAGTTAAAATGCAAATATGCCTAAATTATTAAAAATTATAAATTATTAAAATTAAATTAAAACTAAATAATCAACTCTACAAAACGCCATTATTATCTCAGGATACAGGATTTTTATAAAAAGCGGTAGTTTATAAAGAGACATCTAATGGATTAATTGCTAACAGAAAAAAGTTTCTTGAATAAATTTGGCATTACTTAAAGTTTAAAATGTTAGCTTGTGTTCAAAAATTTCAAGGTATATTTACACACCTTATCTTCAGATACAATAAATCTCACACACAGATTAATTAATATATTTTCCGAGTCTGAGCTATTTTCAGTGTACCGTTTCCACTTGTCCACTCGTAAATGCCGATACGCGGCAGGAGAGCGTAGAGTCGAAACGGGTGACGGGAAACAGTGGGAAATGTAATTTAATAAATTGATTATATCAATTAGTTGCTGCATTTTTATTGAAATTGCTGTTAATATTGCTAACTTGTGCAGCCATTTCGCCTGGGGCCATGGAGTATTTCCCATCGTCGTTCGCTGGCGCAGAGCCTAACTTATGGCACATTTATACATATACGTGGATGTATCCCCCGGCAAGAGTCCAAATTGAGGCGCTTTGTATTGATTAGCGAGCAGCCGCGGCGGTCCAAACGATCTAAGCAATTTTCCAGGGCAGGCCGTATGGACTGACCCAATAAATTATGCCAGGTGCCCTTACTCCCCTTCGCAAATGGCTTAATTTACGGCTTCGATCGGGACGTGACTAAACTGCTGCCACCATCTGCGTGATCCACTGACCACTGGAAAATGCCCATGTGTGTAATTCGAGAGGCGACATTAGAACATTGGCTGCATATTGATGTGGCGGCTATTGCATTGCTCCGCAAGTGCATCAGGTGATTGCTCCGAACTTCAGCCTTTGTTTTTGCTTTGCTTTTGGGGTCAATGTCAGCCTGGCTTTCGGATGGCCACACAACTCGCATTTTAAGCGGATCGTATAAATTCCGGACCCACCGCCCCAGCGCCATGTAGTCAACGCAATGGCACTCGGCTATACGGTTGTCTGTCTGCTCGCCGGTCTCTTTCTGCTCGGCCTGGTGCGGGCGGAGGTGGGCCTGCTCCAAAGGCAACACCGGCTGGTGGCTTCCTACCCGGCAGCCGGCTACAAGCCAACTAGACAGTTCAGACTGCCGGCGGATCAGCCGAAGCCGGCTCGCCTGGTTGCGAACAGCGAGGCGCAGGAGGATCTCGACGACGCCGCTGAGGAGTTGACGCCGCGACCCAATGCCGCTCCAGGTTCACCTCCACCTCCGGCTCCGGTCCCTGCTGCAGTTCCGGCCATCCCGGTGACTCCCACCATTGCCTACTATCCGGCCGGAGCCGTAGGATTCGTCCGCCCAGCGACATTCGCTAAGATCGTCACCGCACCGCAACCGGTGTCCGCTTACGGGGCCACGCCCCAGTACTACTCCGCCTACTTTGGCTAGAGCTAAGCTTTGAGCAATAAAAGTTGATTGTTACGGCCGAAAGTACTGTTCGGGGTTCGGGCACATCTGCAGATGCATCTGCGTTTAATTGCGCGTCTGCTCGTTGGCTCCTCGCGATCCATGACCATGGTATTAGGCATGCTCCATCAACAAGCCAAATCTATACGACAGCAAATCTTGGGCTGATGCCGGCCGAAGGCTGCTTACCAAACGGTAGGCTCTGACTGTCTGTCAGAGCCTAACGAATGGCTCGGAGGAGAGTCAGTGGATGGCGGAGGATGGAATTTGCAGTTGGGAGGGGCTCCGAAGCGCAGCAGCAGCTTTGACAATGAGTGAGCAAAGATAATCTATTATGACCGTAACAAGAAATAAATCCCAACTCGGTAATCCATCATTTTACGACTTTGCAATCAAAACAAGGAGTTTAACTAAGAGATAGGCTGCAGGACGGAACTGGCTGGACGGGACGAGCTGGCGGACGGTCTCCGGCCTGGCCAATCAACAAGAACATACACACATTGTTGGCTAGTCGGCTAACGAACAGGCCGAGAGCCATGTTATCGCTAACCAGAACGCAGATTGGGCATGACCAGGAAACATGGCTTTGGGACAGCCGCATGCACATCGAGCCCAATCTGACGTGAAGACTCGCCTCGGATGGCAGCTTGCCGCCTTTTTGGGTCCCGACTAAATAGTTGCCAATAATCTGTGTCCAAACTGATCGGGTTGCCGTTTATGGTAATGGACGAAATTATATGCCGAAATCAGCGGCGGCTTGCCATACCTCGTTACCAGAGCACAAACTTGGCCGTGCCTCCCGACTGATTGGCCACGGTTTCCGGCCTGAGCTCTGCACTATTATTGCTTCATCAAGTGTTCAACAGTTATCCGGAACATAATCGGCAGAAGCCTAAGCAGTGACTGGCCAGCGGACGTCAGAGACTCGACCTGTAAGAGCATTTGAAACTGCTCAAACATTTTCGCAATCGCATTTGGAGGTTAAGGTGCAACAGTTGGTAACATATCTGATGTCTGCGGGCCGTGCAGAATGACCGAAGAGCTTACCCGTCGAACAGTAGAACCGTTTGAGTTCTTAAATTTTGAGCCTGGTTAGAAAAGCAAAGCAATTCAAATACCATATACAAACAACATTTTGCATTTTTATTGATCCTTCATTCTAAAAGTTTTGCTATTAACGTAGAATAAATGTTTCGCCAATGTTTTATGAAATTCCTGCCTTCAAAATAGTAAATAGTTTAGAAAATAGTTAAAGGTTACTTATTTCTCAAAACTGTATTCTGTCAAATATTGTATTTCTCATAGAATTAAAATATATAAACCAACAAAACAATTACGATTCCTCCTGGAACATTAAACACATTGCTAAAAAATTTTATTTTTTTTTAGATTAAAAATATTTATTATATGTAAGCTTGGAACAATAAGTAAGAAGTTTGTGGATACTCAAAATATTACTCCTGTGAAAATGCGAACTCTTGCTAGAGAGCCCACTGTGCAGCGGCTAATTAAAGGGGAATATGGGTTAGGTTTGTGAACAGCACCGGGTCAAAGGTCATATTCAAGTCCTAGAGAAAGTTGCATGAAAGAAGTAAATGGCTTATAGTTAAACTTTAATGAATGAAGAGGAATTGTTTTTTTTTTTTGACCCATTACAAATAACAGTGCTGGCCGAAAATTCTGTAACAGTAAAAATATATATCTTCTTCTACAGAAGTTTTAAAGGCAATATTTTTAACGTGCGCATTTATATGTCTTTTTTTTAATGTTTTTAAAATGGAAGATACTGATATTAATAGTATCGAAATTGTATGTAAGTATAAATGTTTCAAAGACATTTAAAGGGTTTTAATTTTTCTAAGATGTCACCCTAGAATAAAATAATAGTACTACATTTCTGAGATATCTCCATATATGTTATATTACGGACACAAGATTGTTTTTAAGACGGTCACTTGCAGATTGTTGAGAAGGGAAACTTTACGCAAACTTTAAATAATTTCCAAATAAATTTTAACTGAGTAGCTTCTTTTATACAATAAATATAAAAATATGTTCCAAAAACCACAAATTAATAGAAAATATCCGATCAATTAGCGATATATTCAAATAAGCTTGAATAAAAATATAAACAAATAGAAGTTGGTATAACCTCTTCTCAGTTTTAGGAAATATTTTTGCTTTTGCAATGAGAGGTAGAGATTTAAAAACGTTCTTTTGGAAGTAGCAAAGTGAAATGAAACAACTAAAACCGGCATTTGATTTATGTATAAAAAGTGCACAATCAACAAAAAATGTAATAAGCAAAATGGAAAGCTACAGTAAAGTGTGGTTAAGAATATGGTAAAATGAAAGAAAAACAAGAAAGGAAGCTAGCTTCGGCAGGCCGAAGTTTATATACCCTGGCAGATAGAACTTCTATGAATAGGAATCCATACAATAAAAATTATATATATTTGTGTTAAAAAACAATGAAGTAATACCTGCTATCACTTCATTCACCTATACATATTATATTTGCAGTTTTACATTCACAGATTTGCATTTTTCCTCTACATCAAACGATCGCTTGTATGGCACCTATATGATATAGTCGTCCGATTTTCATGAAATTTGACACTAAATTTAAAACTGATATAAAATGGCTATACCTCAAATTTTATGAAAATCTGTTGAAAACCGAAAAAGTTATAATTTTTAATTGTATTAATTTCTCAATCGTTCCTATGGGAGCTATATGATATAGTAGTTCGATTTTCATAAAATTGTATGCAAAATTGTAGAGTATAGTAAAATGGCTATATCTCAAATTTGATCAAATTCTATTGAAAACTGAAAAAGTTAAAAATTTTTTTGTAAAAATTTTCCGATCATTCCTATGGCAGCTATATGATATAGTCGTCCGATCCGGCCCGTTCCGACGTATATACGAGTGAGAGTATATAGAAGGCTAACTACAAAGTTTCACTCAGATAGCTTCAAAACTGAGAGACTAGTTTGCGTAGAAACGGACAGACGGACAGACAGACAGACGGACAGACGGACAGAAGGACAGACGGACAGACGGACATGGCTAGATCGACTCGGCTGTTGATCCTGATCAAGAATATATATACTTTATATAGTCGGAGGTGCCTCCTTCACTGCGTTGCAAACTTCTGACTGAAATTATAATACCCTGCAAGGGTATAATAACGTTTTGCGCACACCCAAATAAAGGAAAATTTTAAGAACATCCACTGACGCTGCCAACACAGACGTAAATTTTGCAAGAGCTGTGAGATGAGTTCTGCCATAACATATACATATGTATGCGTACAGCAGATATGAAGTTTTCAGCAAATCAAGTTCTTATTTTCCCTCAGATCTGTATCTTTATACGAACGGAAAGACGGACAAACGGACGTGACTAAATAGATATGGCTGGCGATGCATTTTGTGGTCAGAGAAGCCTCCTTCTGCCTGCTCCAAATATATACTTTCGATTGGCACTGAGCTCTAATGTCCTTGTACCCCATGAGTACGGAGTAGAAAATTCTCTTGTACATGCATTAAGTAATCGTTTGTGTAAAATTAACATATGATTTTATAATTCTTGTGATTTCTTTAATTTTAACTACTAATTTTAATTTTAAATTATTTTCCATACAAATCATTTGGTTGTAAGTTATAAAATCTGTCCAGAAGCAATTCCTTTTGACATCGTCGGCTGCGTTCATACATCGACAGACTGCGCCTTCTGTACATTCCTACCCTTAAGGATCGTCGAACATGTCATGTTGTTATGTTCCTTCAAAAATTAATTAATGGACATGTTTCTTCCAATTATCTGTTAAATAACTTAACGCTCTCACTCCCTGTAAGACCTTCTCTTTACCTTAGGCCGATAACTCTGGATGTGTGTAAGACGAACTTCGAGGTAAACGATCCACTCCGCGTCTTATGCTCTATTGATTACTTTTTTTGTTACATATTGAATTGTCCTTAGATTTTAATGTACAACATTTGTTAAGATACCTATCCTTGCTTCTGCCCATTTAATGTAAGTCCGAGCATATCGTTAAAAAACACTCTTATGATACATACATATATAATGTATTTCCACTATTTAAAAAATTCTACAATTATTTTGTACTTCATAACTAATATTATAATTAGATTACAATTTTCCTATTGGCTTTTGCTTTTGGTATTACTACGGAGTTACCCCTTCCCACCTTAAGACAAATCAAATTGAATCACGCGCCTCAGTATTTAAAATTGGGCAGCATTGTTGTCGGCTTGTTTTTCAGCACTGGGCGGCAAAACTTCTTACGGTAATAGCAACAGCGGCCACAGACAACAAACCAGTGTTGTCAATTTGGAAATTAAAAAACTCGATATTTCTTGGGTAAAAAATATCTAGAGCAACGCAGGTTGTGGCCGCGGCATCACAGTTGTTGCTCTCTCTGCTCGGCTCGCTCTCGTGCTCACTCATGTATTTGATCACTCACGACAGAAGTCTGATTAACTGAACGTTTTATTTACATCCCAAATTTTACACTATCCCTTACATTCCCATTTGAGATCGTTATCCTGTAAACCATTTAACTTTTTATCAACGTTTTTTAAGAGCGTATGCAGTAATTTAAAGTTTTGGGAGGACCACATGCTTATGCAATTGCACTGTAGAGTAACAGTAATTTTTGACCAAAACTTGTGAAATATCGACTTACATTAAACATTTAAGTAGTGAAAATTGTAGTTATCATGTTTAGACTTTTGTGAGCCAGCTTACGCTAATGACAAATACTTAAATTGGATTTAGATTAATAATAAAGATTAAAAATAAACAAGAAAGGAAGTTAACTTCGGCACGCTGAAGCTTTTTATATCCTTGCAGAGTGTAATTCGATCATTAATAATTAATACAATATATATTTGTTTTTAAATAACGAAGCAATTTCTTCTTTGATTAAAGTCACCTATAATTATAATATTTACTGTTACAGTTTTAAATTCACAGTTAGGCACTTTTATATATGATATAGTAGTAAAATTTTCATAAGATTCTAGAATTATGGCTATATCTCAAATTTTACCAAAATCTGTTAAACGCTGGAATATTTCCTATGGCAGATATGATATAGTCGTCCAATCGGTCCCGCTCCGACTTATATACGAGTATGTAGGAGAATAACTAATTGTTTTATTCCCATATCTTTAAAACTGATTAGTTTTCGGACACACGGACATGGCTAGATCGATTCGACGGTTGATACTGACACAGAATATTTTTTTTAGAGTCGGAAAAGGTTCTTTTAGGGCAAAGTTCTGACTAAATTTATAATACCCTAAATTATTAATATATTAATTTAATAAAGCGTTATATAGAAAATGCCATTTGCTCATAGTTAGAAATTGAATTTTAATGACCAATATTTACAAAAGAAACTTTCCGGTCTAATCCAAACAGTTTTGAAGTAGTAGGAAGAGTTAAAATCTGTGAATTTGACATTAATAGTATTTTTTATTTTTTTTTCAATTTTTTTTTATATACAAAACAATAAAACGAAAAGTTTATTAACATTTTTTGTAAATAAATCATGTCCATATATAGAGACTGTATATTTGTATTTCTTATTAAAAAACAAACGTAGACGAAATAATATCTATATTTATCTTAAATAATTGGAAACCGTTTTTAATAAGCTTTTCAAATTACATACATGTACATATGTCATATATGTACATAGCCTAAAGTAAGCTGAACCGGCAACACTGCAACCAACCTACTTTCTTCGGTTCTGCTTCTTCTTCAGCATCGAGAAACTACTTGTTGAGTGTCAGAAAGAGCTATCACACATTTCTACGCACGCACCGGATTACCCACGTCATCAAACCAGGCGGTCATCCTAGAACAGTGCTTGCACGCTCATAGCTTAAACCTGCAGCGAAAATGCGCCAACTGAAGGGTAAGGTCAAGGAGACACGAAAGCAGAAGCAGGAGCGCAAGCTGGACAACTTAGAGATACAGGCCAAGATTCGCACCGTGGTGCTTCCAGCGGTTGGTGTGTTGGCGCTTCTTCTGGTGATGTTCGTCTACATGAAAACGCGACCCGCGGTTCTTGCATGATCGGAAATGATTGGAGTACTAGCCCTAAGTTGTAAATTAAGAGCCACATTTGTGGGGAGTGCAATGCAATTGTTGTTAACCGTGCACGCATATAGCTTTAATTGTAAAATAAATAAATTGTGTTTCGTCCAGCAATAGGCAATTTTGCTGGCTAAAATTGGGTAGCAGTGTTGACTAACATTGTTTCAGTGCGGCGCTATTTAGACGTTTCAAAATATTTAAAAACAAAAACGAAAAACAGCTGGGCTATTAAATATGTATGTATTTAAGGTTCGCCGTTCCTTTCCCCGGATCCGTCGACAAGCAAGACAACTAGTTTTATTTTTGGCTATTTTATACTTCAGGGTACATTTCGTGGCCATTGTCTTTGTTTTAATTTCGCCTATTCGTTCGTTCGCAGCCCTAAACTGCAAAGTTAGAAGATAGTCGTACAAACAAGATCGAATATTCCTTATCTGAGCAGCTTTCCAGTCAGTTTACGCAGTTATCAAAACCTATCATCGATTATCTAACGCTTGCGAAAGAGCGACAGAGAATCCCAGTGTGCCGTCAGCTGTTGTCAGACTATCGCTCGTACGCTCCCGCGTCTCTTTTGTACATTTCCAACTTTCTCTCAGTAAAAACTCTTACGCTGGCGGGTGCAGGCGACAAAGGCACTTTCAACTACTCAACAATGCTTAAGTTTTTGGTAAGTTCATGGTAAGTTCTGGTCTCCACTGCGATCTCCAGTCGTCTATCGAAATGGAATTATTGACAACATTTATGCATACACGCATTCATACATGAGTACATCAGCCTTCGCTTGCGATGGGACAGCTTTTTACGGCGATGACGCTACTGGCTGGTTGGCCAAACAATTTGTTTGCTGGCCGTGTGACACAGAGTTCAGAGTTATATAAGACGCCCAGACAGCCCCAACAGTTTGGAAACTAAACAAATCAGCTTCTCATTGGGAATAACGTCGTGTCAAAGGTTAGATTTCAACAGTATTGTCAAAAAGTTCCCGAACACGAAGCTCACCAAATCAATAGTTTTTATTTAACGTTTAACTGTAAGCCAGAATGAAACTCCTCGGACTTGGGGCAAACGTATTGAGACTCAGGGCTGCCGGGCAGAACCGCTCGGCCAACACATGCTGCCCGGCGGAATTAAAGGTGCCTCAGCCGTGCTGCCCAAAAAAACGATTTTGGACATTCAAGCGCATACTGAGCTTTTCCACGGTCAGCATACGGTCAACAGCTTCACCGCCAACTCTATCATCCCTCTGAATATCCGTCATTACCCGCTTTAATATTCGTTTTTTTTTTCTACCTTCCAGCTGACGTTTGGCGCCGGGGTCTACACGGGCATTTACGTCTCGCAGAACTATGAGGTGAGCCACATCTTGCAACATAGTGACTTCCTGACATCCTTACATATATTTGGATTGTCGTATCACACAGGTCCCACGTGTAGACGACCCGCAAAAATTGATGGAACGAGTTAATGAAAAAGTGAAGGAGCTGATGGACCAAACCAAGAAAAAGTAATCGACATTTGGTAGTTATTTTTACGTGGAAAGCAAAGTCACTAAATTCAAAATAAATCTTTCGAGCTATTTAGTGAAGTTACAAATTATTCAAGGGTATCGATAAATCTTGTAGTCCCGAATGTAATCAATCCACAGTTTTAGCGTGCTATCTGGGAGTTATATCAAACTTTTGTTATCAAGTCAGATGCATATTTGGAATAACTTTAGTTCCGTAAATTTTGATGCTCGTAAAAACATATCTTTAAACAGCAATGAATTATTTTAAGAACTACATATGTTATGTAGCCACCAATCGGAAAGAACATAAAACCAAATATTTGTCAAAGAAATTGTGTATGACCACCTTAAAGTTAGAGTCATTACGCCTATTAGGCATCAAAACGCACGGTACTGGTACATATAATGGACTTTACCAATTTTCGCAGTATATTTAGCTGCTGTATTAATTAGTTTCAAGGACGTAAACTCTTTAATTCTTGTTTCAAATAAGAACCATGTAATTAACAAACCCACACTTTTCACAGATCGCTCCCCGAACAACTAGCAGACGACATTAAAAAGGAGGCCAAGAAAATAATGAAGGACTGACAAGTGCAATAATTAAAGACGCTCTGTTTAAATAAATGTATCTATAATCAAATAAAATTGTGTTACAAGATTAGAACTAAACGAAAGATATCCCTCCGCCGTAATATTCAAGACGTGTCTGCGGCTGGACAAAAGCCAGCCAGTCGGAGGCGTGTGTGGGCAGCAGGCCCATGCTGTGACACTTGTAGAGGGCCAGAGCAACGTTGGCCAGGTTGCCGAGGAAGTATACTATGCGCTGACCCGTGCCCTGGGCGCCCTCGGCCATCTTCGATGTCACCTGTGTGGTGAACATGGCCTTAATGGGGCGTATCAGCATCATGCCCACCATCATAATGGGAAAAATTGAAATCGAGTTGCCGGACATGTACATGATGAAGAGGTTCATGGGTATCTGCAAGGAATCCAAAGGTTAGATCCCCTGAATGCTGCGGCCCAGGTCAAAGTCTGTACTTACATTCTTCAGAGGCCCGAGTGCCAGATCCCACGACTTCTTGATAACCAGGCGCTGGTCACGAACCACCTCGCTCTGGTTAACTAGAGCAGACGGATTATATCCCAATGGCGAGGGCATGTCAGCGTTTTTGCTGAACCGAAAATAAAAGTATGTATGAGAGGGTGTCAATTCTTTCCAAGTGCACTCTACCCGTTACCTGACGTTGAAGTCCAGAGCCCACTTGTACTTCTTCGAATTTTGCTTTGCGGACATTCTGGTATGTTATTTTATTTAATATATCTGGATATTTTACTAAATAAAATTTTTCACAAAACAAGCATTAATTGGTCGTGGCTTAGTGTGAAAAAACGTCGAAGGACGGCGTTTTAACAGTGTTGCACAATTTCGACAAGCAACTGTGGGCAAATGGCAGCTCTATCGATAACATCGATAAGTCTGAGGCGAATTCTTTGAAACTGCTTAGGAATAAACGCCAGACATATTTCAATTAGTATTTAATTTTTATTTTGAATTACCTCTCAAGTAGTACTGTCCTTTTTATATGGTTTTATATATATGCATAAATTTCTTTTTATTTTGCTTGGCCAAGCGACGTCACGAAACGAAAGTGTTAAAAATTAAAAGGGTTTGTTGTATTTTTAAAGAGCAATTACAATTACAGTTTCGTTTTTCTCATTAATATTACTTTTATATTTATAAAATTAAAAAGAAAGATATATTGATGAGGGGGCGTGGGGTTTAGAGGAGGGAGGAGAAAAATAACTTAAAAAGACATTGTTTATACCATATACTTTAGTTTTCTTTTTTTCTGTGATTGGTTGGGGGATTCTCTTTTACTCGTTTTGCATTTAAACATCCAATAATTATGTATGAATTTAAATTAAATTATATAGCGTTTTTATATGTTGTTTGCAAAAATTTTGCTTTTGCACGGTACACAATAAACAGTTCAGTATCTTGTTTGGAAATACGGACAGGAGGCGTCCTTTTAAGTTATGCGAAGATGCTGCTGCTCTTGTTGTTGGTGTTTTTGCTGCTGTTGTTGTAATTGTTGTAGTAATTACATATGATGCCGTCTTTTTGATGTTCCTCAGCCACGGTTTCGGATTGGTTTGCTGTTGGTGTTTGCTGGTTTTTGCCACGTCCGGCTTCCTTGAAATCATATTGTTTTATTCAAATTGTTGTGGTTTCTATTGTATTTTTAGTGTAATTAATTAGCGATTGGCATTCTTTAACTGATTGGACAACCAGTCGAGCCCCTCGTAGAGCCCATCGCCGCTAGTTGCACACGTCGCCTGAATGTACCAGTTGCGGTTTCTGAGTGAGTGCAAGCCGAGCTTGTCGGTGATTTCGGCCGCGTTCATTGCTTGTGGCAGATCCTACATTAAACATGAGAAATTGAATAGCTTTTGTTTTAGAATTCGGAAATGGCATTGTTAACAGATAAGTGCGCAACCGTTAACCGATCTGGTGCTTAATATGTGGTTCCATGAGCCATAGTATTACCTGTTTGTTGGCGAAGATTAGTAAAACTGCATCCCTCAGCTCATCCTCCGCCAGCATACGCATTAACTCCTCTCTCGCCTCTCCAATACGTTCTCGGTCATTGCTGTCAACGACGAAGATAAGACCCTGCAAGAAGCCATAAGTAACCGTTACTCAAATCGTGCAACTATCGGCTAACAATAGTTGGTTCTGTGATCGAAATTCAGTCCCGTCTTGAAACAAAATAAACTTTGAATAATCACAATGTTTCTCATTACAAGTTATTAACATCATTATGAAGCGACTGGGGCCTTTCTAGCAGCTATTGCAACCACTTACTTGTGTATTCTGGAAGTAGTGCCTCCACAGGGGACGAATTTTATCTTGGCCGCCCACATCCCACACTGTAAAGCTAATATTCTTGTATTCTACAGTCTCCACATTGAAACCTACAAATCAAAAAAAACACAAATGTATATATGAGACTCTACTTCAAGATAGGACAAATGGGCTGCTCCACAATCACATTCACATTTACTCACCAATGGTAGGTATCGTTGTAACAATTTCGCCTAATTTGAGTTTGTACAGAATTGTGGTTTTACCAGCGGCATCCAAACCGACCATCAATATTCTCATTTCCTTTTTGCCGAAGAGGCCTTTAAATAAGTTAGCAAATACATTTCCCATAGCGACTGCTGTTGTCTTTCGGATGCTCAGGAGGAGATGGAATTCGAATCTCGGATTTGCCTGCTTTGATGCTAGACTGACTGGCTGGAATTATTTTTAACAAGTTCAAATCCGAGTTTCTGCACTGCCGATTGAACTATGCACCCTCCGGATTTATGTTCTTGGACCAGGAGAATCTGAAAAAAAAACAATAAGGTAGAGATAGGTTACAGTCGCGAATTTATTTTGTAGCATATGGATTAAGCCCAGTTCTCCGTAAACGAAGTGAGTGACATCAATATCAAAGGTGTTGATGTTCTGATTGTTGTTTAGGTTTGCGTGGATCTAACGTCGGCTCTGCCTTCCGCGATCACCGATGTCGACTCCGACTCTGACGTGTTGGTAGTCACCACAGCTGAGTCACAGTAAAAACCCAAAAACATGTAAAACAGAACAGGCTAACGAAATATCGCTGTGTTTAATGCAATAGTACGCTTTGTTTTTAAAAGAGATTTAACAAACTAAACTAATTAGAGCTAGTCGCAAATGTTGTTTATGTAATTAATTGCTAAATTAATAGCCGTAATGCGGGGAGGATGTGTGAGAGACTTTCTGCTCCGAACGTAGCTTGTTCCCTCTGATAAGATATCGATTTATAGTATATAGCGGTGACGGCGATATGCGTCCAACACTCCCCCGCTTCTCCATTTAAGAAACGTGCGGACCGGGAAACGCTTAGGCGAGCGATACAGGCAGCATACAGGTGTAGGAACTTACTGATTTCAGCGGGGCGGGGCGACTGAATTTCAAATTATGCAGTGAGTCAGCGCGCAAATTTGCCCGTAGGTTCGAATTTGCAGTCTGCCTGCTTTTAGATTTAATCGGAAAAGAAAGACGATGCCCCCGCCCTACACCCGTTATAACTACGCCGCCGCTAGCAGCAGGAAAGCAAGTAACGCGTTGCCAACGAAACATAATGCGCAAATGAAGGGACAACAATAAATCCATCGCCAATGTCTATATCCTGCGTTTTGAAGAACGCATCCGAAGCTTTTCTCTGCACTAGAGCGCTGATAGTTTGGCTGGCATAAGCCGAAAACTACACGTAGCTACTTTTATTTGCCAAGCTGCTGCGAGGGAAGCGGAGCAATCACACTAACACACCAACACCCTTCACACGCACACACCCACTGTCACAGCCGTCTAGAGTTGCCTACTACTTCGCGATGAGGAGCCGAGGAGCCACTAACATGGTCTGTCTGTCGCAATATTTAGGCCCACGGAATCAACACTGAAGCCAGGTTGTATCTCCTTATCGTGGCAAATGCTCTTGGCCAATATATTGCGCTTTAACTGACCCCGGATTCCGATCGGACAACTGCTATACGTGGTTTCCCTGTGTCTGTGTTAGTGACGTGACGTATGCCTTTTTTTCTGTCTTCCAGGTTGGTGAAATGCAAGGGCGGCTGGCCCTTGTTTTGTCGACATTAACGAAATCTTTATTACTATTAATCGAGAATCTATGAACTGGGAATATGGTTCTGTCTGTTTAACAACACTTTACTCTGTTCACCGACTAATTGAGCTTCTTTTATAAATTTTTCTTTGATTAAATTTTCTCTGCTACCAAACACACCACACACCGAATTGCGAAGAGAAAGATAATGAAGAAAAACTTATCGATAGCAGATTCGTACGATAGCCGATAAGCACTCCCTTTTCAGAACCCCATGTTTTGAAAATGGTAATTATTTATATAACGCATATTGTAGATATTTTTCCAAAAGGGCATGAAAAAACAGAGTATAAATTATGTTCAAATGTTTAAATAGGAAAAACCATACGATGACGATATATTTCGGAAGTTTTCAACACTGGAATTGACACTATTCCCCTCAGACACCGTCGCAAGTGTGCGTCTTAGTGCACACCAATACAAACACATAAGCTTCGTCCACATTGCTGCGGAACAAGCTCTTAAATGTATAAATGTGCTCATTGATATTAGCCTTTTTCTTGAAGTCACATACGCACCAAGTACTTGAATCAAATGCACACGTATTTGAGCGGAAATTTTTAAAATTTCTGCTTGGAAATGTCGAAAATCACAGAGCAAAATAAAACTTGACCGAGAATACTATTGCCGTTAAGAAAACTGCAAACTCACCACCATAAACTGCCGATAGAGATGAGCGCAGGCACCGCTTGACCGGCAATGGGCTAGAGTGGGATGGCAGTAGGTTGCAGTGGTAGGGTGAATAAGATGCGAAATGCTGCCACGTCTCGGTCAAACATGATTCGATAACATAGTGTTGTCGTTAAAGTGGCGTTTTCGAACTCTTGCAAAATATTTTTTCGCCCAAAGAAAAACTAGCAAGCTTCTTGCACGGTATGTTCCTTTTTTATATGACGATTTATTTAAAAATTTTATTTCGTCGATATATGTAGTTCTGGGTGTTTGTACAAGGCTTTAGCGTAGATAATAGCTAAATTGTCAACACTAGAAGATTCAAACTAACGACCGACGACTTGCAGTGCTGCCAGAATATCAATCAAAATTTGCTAGATTTCGAAAATATATGTATATTAAAGAATGCAACCAATTATTTGAAAATTGTTAAAAATACAAAAAAAAAAATTATTTGAAAGAAGAAATGTCTGCTTGTTCTTCTTTTATTTTTGATCTTTAGAGTTTTTGCGTTATGGTAACGAATTGATTAAAATTAAAATCTTCCAACTAAAAATCATGACCTTTAATAAACCTTTAATTTAAGAACTTATATCCAATATCAAAAGATCTAAATAAAAATTTAAAAATAATATTTGTTATACAGTTCCTAAAATATAAAAGAGAAAACATTAATTCGCTAAATTTCGGTATCAGCATATAAGAAATACATGTTTCACCTTTTAAGTGGCTGGATTTGGCCACTAAATTGCTAAAGTAGCAGCACTTCCGACATGCGTTACCCGAAATCTCCGTTCCTAGGAAATCCTGGGCTGGAAGATGAGATCCTGAAAATAAATGTAATATTGTGGGAAACACTGTTTCTTAAAACCGTAAAACTGTACCTGTTCCGTCTAGGCTGCCCGCCTGGCTCCGCTTCTGGAATGGCTCTGCCTGACGCCCCGGGTCACCACGTACCGGGTTAACACTCGTCGCACCTGCGTCGAAGAATGCAGGCGAACGCTTGTGGAAAAACTGGCATCTATCTACGGCCAACAAGCTCCAAGGGTATACGCCCTGAGCAAGCTGACGGAAGTGTTATGCATAGACCCATTGGATGCCCAGGCGAACCTCCAAAATACTCCCCTGATTCCAGCCTTAGGGAGGTGATTGTGGACGCCACCTGTGGGGCTGCTTTGCTTCGTGGAGCCCATATATACGCCCCCGGTGTCCTCGCGATGGAATCAAACACTCAACTCAATGAAATGGTCAACGTCTTCGCAGATTTGTCTGGAAAATGCAAGCGTGGGTCAACCGTCCGCTATGACAGCTCCCAAAAGATCTTCGTGGGGCAGGGCAGGACTCTAATGCAGCGGTACCAGCTATTCAACAACAGTGACAAGCCAGCAACCGGTGTCGCCGTCGAGATGCAGTCGAACGTCAGTGGGGTACCTGCGCTAGGGGATCTGAGCTGTCCCGACATCCTACTGCAGAACCTGCCCTCCATTGTATGCGTCCATGTATTGGCTCCTCAGCCAGGCGAACGCGTGTTGGACATGTGCGCGGCACCCGGTAATAAAACATCCCACATAGCCGAGATGATGAACGACCACGGCTCTGTGGTGGCCTTAGACAACTCGGCAAGCCGTGTGCGCAGCATGAGACCTAAGTTATGCAGTTACCAAAGCATTACGACACACGTATTTGATTCAACAAAAGCAGTTGCCTTAGATCTTTTACCGACAGTCAGTACACTTTCGGAGCCGCCATTTCCTAGCGCTAGCTTCGATCGCGTCTTGTTGGACGCCCCGTGCAGTGGCTTGGGTAATCGGCCCCAGCTGTCTAGCAACATCAAGCGGGCTAAGGTACTGCAGTCCTACCCTCATGTTCAGCGGCGTCTATTCGTGCAGGCGGTCAAACTCCTGCGTCCAGGCGGCATTCTCGTCTACAGTACATGCACCGTCACGGAGGCAGAGTGCGAGTGCATAGTGGCCTGGGCACTGAAGAAATTCCCCGAGCTAAGATTGGTGGATGCAACACCACGCTGGGGCGGTTTTGGACTCTCACTTCCGGATTTGGATGAATCCAAGTCACGGTTGCTTCAACGATTCGGACCCGGACCCGGGCCCTGCGAGGAAGATGGTTTCGAATCAGTCGGCTTTTTTATTGCCAAGTTTCATAAAGTTGAATGACTCATTGCTGTATTCATTAATTTTATTCGATTTATTATAGTTTTCTACTTAAGCAGCTCCGGTGATGGGGCTTCTTGAGTTTGATTTGTAATAAATGTCGATGGTTCTCGTTAGATCTACGCATATACATATGTATGTATATATGTGTGTGAAGTCTGAATGATTCAAGGAAATGCTCTAATGCTCTTACAAAATACGACTGATATGGACTCTTTGAGCTAAGAGTCTGAGATTAACCGTTCGCATGCTCTCTTGTATGAATCGGTTTTCCCTCAGTGGTTATTTTTTGTTATAATCATTTGCTAAGCGTTTGGTTATGTATGAAAAAAAAACGACTGGCTTCTTCTAAGAGAGCGAAAAAATAAATATAGTTGAATTTTTCATGAAATGAGTAGATCAAAGGACAGAAAACGGTCAACTGGTATTAGCACGCGCTGAACAAAATATTAATGCCCACTTTCCAACTATGACTGGAAACTATGAAATGGGAATTTGCAATCTGGAAAATCCGACTTAGAGGAATAAACATACAAATATTTTGTTACCTTTCTAGATTAAAAGTACTTAAATAATTTACAATTCATTTCTATTTGAAACTTGAGTTACATCTATGTCGGTTTGTCTTTCCTTATTTGTTAATTTGAAAATGCAAGCCCGCAAAGTTCTTACAACATTGAACTATTGACGTTTTTACTTTAATTTATTATATTTCCTTACAATTATTTTGAATTGTGTTATTGTATTTGTTTATGCGAATATGCAGCCGATTTCAAAGCAGAACCGTTCAAATACCTTCCCCATGATTGACGTGCGTTTAGGGTTTTATGTACTCCCATCATTTATTTACCCCGACTAGCCTCCAAGACAATTACCCGTTCGGCTAGAAGGGCAGCTCTGTAATCTCCAATATACTCAACTACCAGAACGATACGGATTGCGGTCTAGAGTATGTGACTTAGGCTAAGCTAAACTGAAGGTGGGACCATTGACCCACAAACAGCCAAGTGTCTTCAATATTATCGACTTAAAGTATAGTAATCGGCTAGAGCTATTTATATATTAATATATCTTTACGTCGGGATGTTGAGCGTCTTGAACTGTTCCTCGTGCATCTCAGTCATCATAAAAGTGCCGTCCTGTAGCAGTAAAACGACGCGACGGGTGCCACCTGTAAATAGTATCGAAATGCATTGTTATAAATAAAACACTTATATCGCATTTCAAAATCTCAACTCACCAGGTGAGGGAAGGTCCGCCTGGACAACTTCGGCCGGTATCTGGGCTTCCGTGCCATCGCTGTCGGATGTTGTTATATGAATCTGGGCCGTAGCCGGGGTTCCTGTGCCAGTTGCAGATGCCTCTGCATGCTGGAGCGCTGCCGCTTGGTGCTGCGCCAATTCCTCCTCTGTCATAGAGACTAGAATCTGCTCGTCTGCTGCTGCTCCTGCTGCTCCGTGCGCTTCAACCTCGCCAGACTGCACTGCCTCGGCTACCGCATGATCTAAAGAGAGAACGTCCTGATCGTCCCCTCAGCGGCAGCGACATAAGCAAACTGTTGCTCGCCATCCGGACCTTGAGTCACCAGTATGGTCTGGCCCTCCGCATTTTTCCCGGCAACTTGGTATACTGTACCGTCCTCGCCCCGCACCAGCAAAGCCGATCCATCTTCATTAGTAAGAACTGATTGGTCTCCTAATAGCGCCTGAGCCGCGGCCTCTAACTGCTCACGTTGTTGTTCTTGCTGCTGTTCCTGCTCCATTTGTAGCTGGGTCTCTTCCTGGCCAATTAGCTTTCCGGTAATCGGGCATAGTTGAGCCTGGTGCTGTTGCACTTCCTCCTCTATCTCCATCTGGAGTGGTGTCGGCTGGATATTTACTTTTGGAGCTACCCTCTGACGGCCTGCGGCCACTTTCTGTATTTGCACCTGAGAGGACTGCTGCTGCTGGGCGTGCACTTGCCGCTGCTGTCGGGCCTGAGCAGCACGCTGTGCTATCATCTCCTCTCGCGTGACCACTTTTCGAGTGACTTTCAGATCCCCCGATTTGGATAGCTGAAGGATCTTTTGTTCGGGAGTCACTGCCTTTCCACCGTGCTGCGTTGTCACCTGATGTCGCTGCTGAGGCGTTCCAGCGCGCGCTAGGACCCGGCCACCTGGATGAGCCCGGGCCGGTGTCAGCTGCTGGTTTTGTCGCACCTGTGAAGTGCCACCCACGATAGGCCGGCGCTGGATCGTCGTCGGGCCCTGACCGGGCGTTCGCAGCACTTGCTGACGCTGACCCACCGTAATTGGAGAATTTGTTGGCCGGGAAACGGGTAGGCGCTTGGTAATACCACCGCTCACAGTCATGGAGCTTATCTTCTGAGGCAACGTTGGACCTGCAGGCGAGGCAGAAGCAGGCGGCGTCTCCGTATTATCCACCCGAAAAACTCCTCTTGTATTGCTGGCCACTTCTGAGCGCGACAGGTAACGTACAGGGCACTCGGTTTTCTCTTTTTCTGGAAAGGAGGACGAGGATAGTTAGTAAATTTCTGATTCTCAAGAACATTATTGACATTATTTACCATTTGGAGAGTGTTGGGCATCTCAGGCTTGCGAAACATTCCAGAGCTAGTGCTGTCCTCTGTGTAGATGATTTCACCCATCTTCTTTTCAGTGACGGATGTGTTGACGACGCTTGAGTTGCCATTGATTTTAGTTTGCTGCTTTTCCGTGGGCTGAACTCTTGGCTTGTTCAACTGCACGGAGCTTCCACCGTTTTTTAAACGCTTCACGGTGTGCGAGGGTAAATCCTCCTCGAGGTCCTCAAGTTCCATCGAGTCGTTCAGCCCACTTCCCTCCAAGCTGGAGTCGGTGTGGTCGAGCTTACGTTTTCCTCCGCTCGGCCCAGTTGCCGGTGGCCATTCCTGTTCAGTTGCAGATTCATCATCGTTCGCTGAGGATGGAGAAGAGGAACCATCACCACCCCCAGTTTCATTGACCCACTGCTTGAACGAGTCCATGGCCTTTGTTTTAGAAGTGCGCGAGGGACGTGATGTTGGCGATATCTGCGTTGGAGCTGGGACTGGACTTAGCGGGGCAGGAGTATCCGGTTTTGAGGACGTACCAGGCGTTTGCAAGCGTTTCAAAGCATCAAGACCCTTCTCTCTTGTAAGTTTTTGGCGCGCCAATTGCTTTTCGAACATTTGCAGAAAGTAAGGAACTCGCTCAAGGTTGGCCATAACCTCCCAAGTGTTCTCGTGGTGCGAGCGATCCACCCATTTCACCAAATACTCGTGGGTCTTGCGACGGGGATTGAAACGCTTAGCAACTATTTTCTCTACGGGTTCTTCTGTTCGCTGCTCAGTCTTGGAATCGACGCGAATGGCTATCCGGTTATTTGCCTTGACTGCGCCGCCGGAAGGCCCTGTTGGAAGCGTTGGCGTTGGCGTTCCCGGCTTTGACTTGGGGCGTTCGTTTTCCGTGTCCTTCAGCTGATTAGCCAACGTTGGTAGCTTGCCGGAAGGCGACTCTGGAAATGAACATAAGAGTAATTAAATATAAATCAAGGGATTTTATTATATTGTTTTCTTTTATTACTTTTGGCGGGGGAGACGCTCGTGTTTTTGTTACTATTAGAGGTATTGTTGTTGTTGGGATTGACGACAGTCTTGGTAATGCGCACTGGCATATCCTGAAGCTGTCCGTGAGCAATCTTCCCAAAGGATTGAATTGTCTTTCCGGCCACGATCCACGGCTCGCGCACGCTCTCCTCCAGTTTCACCCAGTGCTGATACAGGGCCCACGAGTTTCCAGAATTGGCATCCTTTCGCAAGTGTTGTTGCGTGGCCTTCCAGAGTGTAAATGCCCAAATGGTCGGCTTAGTGTCAATTGACTCCTTCATATTGGCATTCTCCTTCTCGCAGGCGTCCTCCTTGTGAGCCTGGAATTCCTCAACAAAATTGTAGGCTCTCAGACAGCGTCCACACACAAGCACGTCCATGTTGGCCAGGTCTTCCTGTGCAGCTGAAAGGCAACAAAATGTACACTATTTTTACTCCTTTATTTTCCGCCACACTCACCTCTGATGATGTTTGCGTGTTTGCCAATCTCCGTCGGTGCAATCTCCTGTGCCAACATTATATACGACACCAGCGCCTAATCCTCTGTGGATTTAATTTAGATATTTGAGATGAGTGCTTCTGTTTTGGCTGTTTGTCCCTTGCTTTCCATTTCAAAAACCTCTACAGGCCCAGAAAAAAGTACAGTGCCGTGGTGTGTTTGCAATAACTTGAACCTAGTGGCAGCTTCGATGTCTGCGGTGTGTGCCCAGCGTGGTGAATTCCCCACACATCTGCAACGGGCAGAAATGCAGCGGCACATTAATGGCAAAAAAAATAACAATAAACACTCAATTAAAAACTAAAGGAACCAATCACAAAGCGTCTGAAGGTGTGAAGTAGATCATGAGCGTAATACTTATCAAAAAAACACAATTTTTTCTATTAATTTAATTATTGATCTAAAACTATATGCCACATTTTGCTGATACAAATTTATAAGAAGAATCGGTACCTCGTCGCGAGTAAACTAAAAAGTTAGGGAATATTATATTATAAACATACACTTCTCAACTATTTTTGACAATTTTATGTTGCCCGCTAAAACCTGTACATCGCTACTATAAGTGCAAATGCCAGTATTTCACGTTTGATCCTGTCTCTCACAAACTAATTAACTGAATCACACTGCATTGAACGCACCTTCATAAACAAATTCTCTTTCAAAACAAAATTAATATTGTTTTCAAGTAATTGTTTTAATTTAACTGTTTTTTCGATTCTTCAACACGCACAGCGGTGCCGCTACTGCTCACAATTGTTCGCGCGAATTCTGAATGCCAAAAGCAAATTCATTCGACAGCACAAGAATCGGGCCAGTGATAATTTGGTTTCGGTTAGCCCGGCGTTTGTATGCGCTATGTGTCATACGTGCTATATATATATAACACACATTAGGACCTTTCGACTGAAAAATATTGTTTGCCGATTTTTGGCTAGCAAGTTTCACTTAAACCCGTTGTTTGTAAGAACTATTTCACCTAAATTGAGAATTGTTTGTACAATTATTTAACTTAAATGCCCGTACTGGGACTGTAGCGCCATTTTTCGTTCGCCCGCGTGGCGGTGCACTTTGTAAGCCAATCACAGAACGTGGTGAAAATGTCCAGCGATGTGGTAACTTTGCGGTCTCTACAGCGTCACTAAAATATGAAATCAAGAACTATTTTAGCAATATGTATTAGCAAAGTGATAAAATAGTAATAAAATATCAGTTATTTTTAATTATACGCAAAGTTTAGCAATAATTTCCTTTTTTCAAATATTGAGAATTTGATTTATCTGGCAGCCCTGTTTAGATGACCATTCCTTGCCCTGGTGTGTACACACTTTTTGATTTTCCGGTGCATTTCATTAGCAAATTGTTTAACACAAAATAAGCATTTTAAGCAACAGAAACGCAAAATGGCCGAAGATGAGCACGAAGAGCAGAAGGAGTACCGCTGGGAAACGGGCTACGAGAAAACATGGTAAGCGTACGCTACTTCTGGTGGGACGTCGTCTCAACTCAATTTTGAAAACTTAAGGGAAGCTATCAAGGATGATGAGGACGGGTTGCTGGATGGAGCCATCGCGGAGATCATCCAGAAGGCCAAGCGCCAGCGCCTGGCGCAGAAAGCGAAACAAAACCGCCTTGGCATGATGCGCCACCTGTTTATAGTGCTAGACTGCTCCGAGTCCATGAGTGTGCCGGACTTAAAGCCCACGCGATTGCGCTGTACCGTCAAGCTGCTTGAGGTGTTCATCGAAGAGTTCTTCGACCAGAACCCTATTAGTCAGCTCGGCATTATCGCGCTCAAGGCAAAGCGGGCCGAAAAGGTGACGGACCTCACCGGCACCTCTCGTGTACACCTTAAGGCTTTGGAGGGGTTGGTGGACGGAGATGGCAATTCATATCAGAAAAAATTAAGAGACGCTTTATTTCAGCTTGGCGAACGTCTCCCTGACCAGCGAACCATCACTCCAGAACGGCTTGGATCTAGCGTTAAAAACGCTCAAAGTCGTTCCCCCACACGCGTCGCGAGAGATCGTTGTTATCATTGGCTCCCTGACTACCTGCGATCCCGTGGATATTAATGTTACCATTGATGAGCTGAAAAAGGAGGGCATACGTTGCTCGGTTATTTCGCTGTCGGCTGAGATCCGCGTTGCCCGCTACCTTACACAGCAGACGATGGGTACATTCGGTGCTGTGCTAGATGATGCCCACTTCAGGGATCAGCTGATGTCACAGGTGGATCCCCCACCCGCAGCAAAGACTCAGCACAATTCGCTCATAAGAATGGGCTTTCCGCACACCAAAAGCGAGGTGGAGGGCAAGGATGCTCCTCTGTCCATGTGCATGTGTCACATAGAGAACTTGGAGGAGCCTAGTGAGCTTTCCACCACCGGACATCACTGTCCGCAGTGCAACAGCAAGTACTGCGAACTACCGGTGGAGTGTCAGTCCTGTGGCCTGACATTAGTCTCGGCGCCGCATCTCGCCCGATCCTACCACCATTTGTTCCCAGTGCCTAACTTTGAGGAGCTGCCATTTGAGTCAATGCCGGCCTCTGCGGGTTCTTCAGATCACGACCGCGACGGTGGGATCAAAGACTGCTACGCGTGTGCCAAGGCCCTCGCACCTGTCGTCGACAAAATTGTTTATAAGTGCAGTTTTTGTAAGCAGTTCTTCTGCACCGACTGCGATGTCTTTATCCATGAGACCCTGCACGCCTGCGTTGGCTGCAACACAATTCCCGGCGTAGACGGCCTGATCTACCAGCAGTGCACCAAATCCGGAGAGGACGATACGCATCCGGGTAGCTCAAAGCAGCGAGTCCAGTTCGGCATTTAACAGTACACTGTGCACTGACTAGCTTTTGATACTTAGATAATAAAAACCTCGAATTACGCTTAGAAACCGATTCAGTTCAATTCATTCCGGTGCTTGTGAGTTGTATCAATTTAAATACGGTACGGTACTGTGTATAATAATTTCGAAGGTGAGCGGAGTATTGTTACTATAGTTGTCGTGGCTGTGGTCTGATTGTCTTGCTCGCCTACGAACTGTGCATTCGTTCATTGTGTTCTCTGTGTCTCGCAATGCCTATCGATGCCAGCTTGTTAGTCTTATGTATAAAGCCCTCTTGAGTTTATAGTTAGCGCTTGCCGCATTCGGTCGTAATTTTTTGTAGTTCCGACTCGATTCCAAGAATTTCGAGATCTCTTTTCCACGTCGACGGACTTGGTGTGCAAAATTCGAAGAGCGAGCCAAGAACGAGAGATCACTTCACTTCGTATTGGAGCGGGCTAGAGTAGGTACTCCGTATAGAATACTCATCGAAACGACGCTGCTTCAATCTAGTATGAAACTAGTTTTAGCCCAGCTAAACTGCCACTGATATTAATGACTTTATGGGATGTTAACAATTTAATTGGAGAGTTTTGAATACCAATAAATCACAGAATACATTTGTATTATATATAAATATGTATGTACATATTTGAGAAACTTATATAATTTTTGATCTCTTGTACGGGTATTATAGTTTCAGCCAGAAGATTGCAACGCAGTGAAGGAGGCACCTCCGACTATATAAAGTAAATATATTCTTGATCAGGATCAACAGCCGAGTCGATCTAGCCATGTCCGTCTGTCCGTTTCTACGCAAACTAGTCTCTCAATTTAAAAGCTATCTGAATAAAACTTTGTAGTTAGTCTTCTATATACTCTCACTCGTCGGAACAGGCCGGATCGGACTACTATATCATATAGCTGCCATAGGAATGATCGGACAATTTTTACAAAAAAAATTATAACATTTTCAGTTTTTAACATAATTTAATCAAATTTGAGATATAGCAATTTCAAATTATTCTACAATTTTGTTTTAAATTTTATGAAAATCGGACGACTACATCATATAGGTGCCATACAAACGATCGTTAGATTTGGAGCAAAAATGCAAATCTGTGAATATAAACTTCGGCGTGCCGTAGTTAGCTTACTTTCTTGCTTTTAAATTCTTTTTATTTGATTACTTGTTATTTTTTTAAAATTAACACTATATAAAATGCTTCCATCAAGTTATAGGTTATGTTGTCTTATTGCCTGTGCAAAAAATGTATACTAAACAAGAAAGGAAGCTAACTTCGGTACGCCGAAGTTTATATACCCTTGCAGATAGAACTTCTATGAATAGGAATCCATACAATATAAATTATATATATTTGCTGCTTTCATTTCATTCACCTATACATATTATATTTGCAGTTTTACATTCACAGATTTGCATTTTTCCTCTACATCAAACGATCGTTTGTATGGCACCTATATGATATAGTCGTCCGATTTTTATGAAATTTGCCACAATTTAAGACTTATATAAAATGGCTATACCTCAAATTTGATGAAAATCAGCTGAAAACTAAAAAGTTATAAATTTAATTGAATTAATTTCTCGATCGTTCCTATGGGAGCTATATGATATAGTAGTCCGATTTTCATAAAATTTTACACAAAATTTTAGAATAATATGAAATGGCTATATTTCAAATTTGATTAAATTCTGTTGAAAACTAAAAATGTTATCGCCACCGCGATTGTCAGTCATCCGACAACAGCCACCGCCATTCTCATTCCTCTCAAATTTCTCGATCGTTCCTATGGGAGCTATATGATATATTAGTCCGATTTTCATAAAATTTTATAAAAAATTGTAGAATAATATGAAACGGCTATATCTTAAATTTTATGAAAATCTGCTGAAAACTGAAAATGTTATACTTATTAATTGAATTAATTTCTCGATCGTTCCTATGGGAGCTATATGATATAGTCGTCCGATTTTCATAAATTTTTACACAAAATTGTAGAATAATATGAAATGGCTATATCTCAAATTTGATCAAATTCTGTTGAAAACTAAAAATTGTATAATTTTTTTTGTAAAACTTTTCCGATCATTCCTATGACAGCTATATGATATAGTCGTCCGATTCGGCCCGTTCCGACATATATACGAGTGAGAGTATATAGAAGACTAACTGCAAAGTTTCATTTAGATAGCTTCAAAACTGAGAGACTAGTTTGCGTAGAAACGGACAGACGGACAGACGGACATGGCTAGATCGACTCTGCTGTTGATCCTGATCAAGAATATATATACTTTATATAGTCGGAGGTGCCTCCTTCACTGCGTTGCAAACTTCTGACTGAAATTATAATACCCTGCAAGGGTATAAAAATGGGATTACAATTTTTTGACTTGAATAAAAAACATTATAAAAATAAAATTTAAAAAGAAACCGCTTATATATGCCCTTGCGAGGTATAATAATTTTTGTCAGAAGTTTGCAACTCAAAATTGGAGTCATTTTCGACCCTATAAACTATATATACGTATATATATAAAATACAAAGTAAATAGATCAGCATAAAAAGGCGACTCGATCTAGTCGTGTCCGTCTGATTATATGCAATCTAGTCCCTCAGAAATAAAGCTGTCAAAATTAAAATATGTTTGCAGTTCGTCTTGTACAAATTCTGACTCGTATGTAATTCGGAACCGAAAGGATCAGACGACTAAATCATGCTGCTATGCAAAACTGTGAATGTAAAACTGTAACTGTACATCATTACTTCGTGGTTTTTCTTTTTTAACATAAATATTTATAAATAATATAGTATTAATTAGTAATGATCGAATTACAATCTGCAAGAATGTCGGAGTGCCGAAGTTTATATCTAGTTATTTGAACTAGATATAACCCTATTACAAGTTTGCGGTGGGAAACCAGATGATTAAATTGTATTCCATTTTATTGTACTCTCTTGCAGGTGTTTAAAAAATATTTGTTCATTGACGTCGGTTTAGAACGCAAATCACAGTCAAACGACGGTCAGACAGTTTAAATGATCTCGTTAATTACTGACTAGCTCAGCAGCGTGTACAAGTGTGAGGTTACATTCATTTTAGACCTAGTGTATGCATTTGTGCAATAAAAAGACGTTTCCGCATCGTGCCCCATGTGCACAAAAAGCGAAAAATCTAAATGTGAAAGTAGAAAGAATCGGATAATAAATATGAACAATGTATGTAAATTGTACATAAATATGTGTCTTAAGTTAAATGTGCCTAAATACGTACGGAATTGGCGCAAAATGAAGGCGAATCTTGTTTGGGACCTTATGCATCAAGAAATACAAGAGCTTAAGTTGGGATAATTGCCAAGGCAAATTCCTTCTGGAAAATAGATTCAAAGGCTGAGCGAAGCGAAATATTAGGCGGAAACAGCGCCAAAATTTGTGGCTAAAGAGAAGAAAATGTGCAGGGGATGCGATGGGGAGGCTACTCAGACTTTGAAGAGGAAAAGTTTATGCGGCTAATCACTTGTTAAGTTACATATTTTTGAATGCCTGTTCTTCCTTGAAGGAGGCTGACTCAAGATAGATAATTTTCCATAGATGGTATGCCTTATGGCAACGCAATATTCGTTGTTTGAAAGTTCTTTGTCGATTTGTTGATTAAAAAGGAAAGGCTTTCTTGATTAAAATATAACGATGTTAGAAAATAGACTTGAAGTGATGAATTTTATGGTAGTCGCAGTGCAGGCTAAAATAATAAAAAAAAACACATTAATTCGTGAAACGGAAGGCATGTAAGATTCATTAGCAGTGTAATTTTTTTTTGTGCGATGGGCGCGGGCTGATTCGAGCCCATTTTGGTTTGGTTTATTTTAAGTATTGCTAAATGGACTGTCGAAAAGGGTGTTGATTGAGGTTTATTAGCAGTTTCGAGTGAACATTTTTGGTTTTTAAATTGCTTCCTAATTATATTAATGTCTTTTAAACTGTTTATAAATAGATGAAATTACTTTTTGATCATCTTTCCCGTTTTGACTCTCTTTTGTACTCCAGGCTAAGATGCCTTTAGGTAAATCCAAATTTAAAAGCGAATTAAAAAAATAATTCGAAATATGGAAATACTTCTTCGGCAACGTAATTATTTCTACTATAAAAGTTACACAGCTGATTTTAAATACTGCTAATACAAATCACCAGATGCCTTGCACGAACATATTTTAAGAGGGCAATTTTTTACTGAGACTTCGTTGAAGCGAACTTGGTTTGTTGCAGTATGCGGCGGCACGTGACAGCCTTAACCTGTTTTCCGTGGAGCGTGGCCGGTCGCACTAGGGAACTCCCACCCCTCGGAGCAATCCCCGCAGTTCTGCTGTACATGACTTAAACAAATTATGCAGCTTGAAGATACAACTAAAAATTACTTTCATAAAAAATTGGTTTACCTTAAAGTTGTACATAAAATAACACTATGCATTGATCTAACTATAATTACTCGAGATCATTTTATGTGTCTAAAGATTTCATTTTAGATCAATATTAATTCCTAGTTCCTCCTAGTTAATATTTTTTTCTCTCCTATTTCGTGAATGTGGCCTATTGAATGCCTACTGTATTGTCGCGTTTCTTTCTTCTACGATCATCAAGCCCCTGCTTTATCTTTTTGCTATCACCATTTGCGGTTCAGGTATGCGTCTTCAGTATATTTTACATCGTCTTTAGGTTAATACGGGTCGCTAAGAAGCGCTTGAGAGAGCGAGAGTTTAATTAATTAGTGTGGTTTGTTGTCCCTTAATTCGTATCAAGCGTAAGGTATAAAATAAAAGCGCGGATAATTTACGCGAAATATTTCGATTAAAGTGTCATCTCGTGCGCGTCGTTCGCTGTAATCTTAATCCGAGTTGCTTCCCATCGCCCAAAAGTTATACATATTGGAGCTGAAATCCAAAAAGTTTTACTATAACGGTAATTCCGCTTTCGTTTGCCTCATTTCTCCATTGTTCTGAGCTTTTATTGCGGCTCGGGGATTTTTTTTATTTTGTTATTACTCTGTATATATGTATGTACAAGTACTTGTGATTTCGATGTTAACTGGGTATTTTGTAGTTTTCCCGAGTAGCTTTCTCATATTTATAGTTTCGAAAAATTAATTAGGCCCCCAATAATATAGTAACATGTAGATGCCTTAAACGAAAGGAAGCTAACTTTAGAAAGCCGAAGTTCATATACCCTTGCAGTTTACAATTTGACCCAGTTATAGAATTCATACTTAACAATTTTATTCTGACCCATATCCGTTTATGTTCAAAAACATCGAAGGTTTGTCGTTCTTCATAATATATGCGTACGTAAATCGGACGAATATGATTTTTATAAAATCTATTCCTGTATTCATATATGGGCATATATCAGAGAGGAAGGAAAAACCAGGAATTTTTGTAGTTATAGTTATAGTTACGTATAATTATAACTGCTGATGATGATCACTAATATTTCGTTTTCGCTCTCACTGCCCTTGGTAAGAGAATATAATTATTTTAAAGCTCCACAAGTAATCAGAAATTGAATATTTAGTTGTATATGTGCGAATATATATGTATATGTACAAATAAAACATATATAACAATTGGTATTTTACATGTGTATATTAATCATCGGCTGCTAGCATATAATTATTTTGGCGTCTGGTTATATCCCGTACTGGGAGAGTTCAGGGGCATTTAAGACCTTTATTGGTGGAAAATAAAAAATTAATAATAATAATAAGAATAATAATTGGTATTATCGGAAAATTGGAATGTAATATAAATATAATTCATTTTAATTTAATCGAACTTCTAAATAATTTTTGGGAGAATTTGATTAAAATTGTGAGTGTTACTCAAAGCTTTTAACTGTAAAAAAGTAGAGGAAGTAAATAGTAATTATAAAAATATTTATATTTTTATTTATATTTGCTCTGCTAAATCATTTTTAAAATCTAGAAATAAACATACCATTACATTTAAACAATATTGATTAAGATAAATAATACGTAATAGAGAATTTTAAATACTGGGTGTCTCGCAGTCGATTAATTCAGCTATACATTTGTTTTTTTTTGTAATGTTTCACAGTGGGATGTTTTTGTGTTTTTAATTGGAGTGAAATAAAGAAAAAAGGGTTTTGATTTGAATTATTTAGTCATTGACTGGTTATTAATAACAGTGAGGGTCACAACTATATTACATATTTCTGGTTTGCCAGCGGCGGTTTGCTGTAGGTGTCTCAAGTCCTTTTCCCAAAAGCTGTTTTCCTTCCGGGTCGAACTAATATTAGCGAGGCACATTTAAAAAATGACTAGTTGATAACTTTCAGGGAAAACGAACCCATGGCAACTACCCTGGACACAGAAGTTGATTAAGCCAACTGATAAAATAATCATTGCAGGACTATGAGTGATACGTTTTTGTCCGCAATGCCAGATTTCTATCAATAATTTAAGCTGCCTATCTTGAGTGGGTTCTCAGAATTCAGCTATGTGAGATAAGCAAAAATAAATGCAATAAATTTTAAACGGCGCCCCCTTACATTGTAATCAGAGTCGATCGAGAGAGATACGGCGAATTCAGGTCTATAATTGTCTTAAAACATAAGTCACTATTAATGATTACAATCAATTGTGTGCTGAACATCCCTCCCTTTGAATTTTTATAGGGATTCTTGGTCTAGTTATGTTAATTAAGATATTTGGGGGGTTCTTAAAGACAATCCTTAGCATTCAAATAAATGAACACGCCTACGTTCTCAATTTGGTTTAAGTTTTATATACAAAATTCAAAGCTGTTATACATTATACATGTCTATAAGACACGGCCAGAACTCTTGGGGCACCGAGTGAGAGTAAAGCAGGGACATATCTACATAAATGGGTCTCCGAACCTCAGCGCAAAATCTAACTCAATGTTCATTCCAAGTGTCAACACAGCTAGATAGATAATGCCAGATAATGCCGCATGGGGAGAAGATAATGCCAAGTAGACCCGGACTACATTCTCACTTTCCATTGGGAGGTGAACTCACGAGCGCGGCAAGCTGTCACACATATTGAGTGCAGTTATCTTTATCGCGAGTCTTGCCAAATGGATGAGGGCCTACTTTAATTGCATCAGATATTAGGCGAATGAAATTATATGGCTCCGCCGACGGAGCAGAGGCCGACTTTGCACTAAGCCAACGCATGAGTGCCTCTTAGCCCGAGAATTCTCCGGCGATTAATCTGCAAACGTCTGGCGACCGGAGAAAGATAATGTATGTACGTAAGCTCCAAAATTTGCGGGATTATACAATTTGACTAAGTTTTATAGTCCGTCTGGGAGAAGCTATAAACGTGACCTAATCCTCTCTAGTGGAAAAGGAAAAATCAAATAAAATTGAGAAAATATTTATAATCCTTTTTCGTTAATTGCGGGGCATAAAATGTCCATGTGAAGTCCTCAATGGACGAATTTTTGAAACTGGTATTTCGATTAGGAAAGTGTTAGCGTAGCTACGTAGGCGGGAGCAGGCCGTGTTCTAGATCGTTCAATCGTATATAGATCGTAAAACCCAGACCCCATTGAAGTATCATAAATTAAAGAGCAAATATATTGTGTGCATCGTAAATCGACTGGGTACTTTACAATCCGACGATATCGCCTGACAGTTGCTCCATTACGCGAAGAGACACGGAGAGACGCCTTGCCGTGATGATTTCCCGGTCGTCATTATCTAGTCATGCATGTCATACATCGATGCAAAAGAGCGAGATGAGACTAACAATCTGTGGCGACCCCAAGTGTGATTGGGAGGGAGATAGAAAAAAGGTTTTTTTTGTAGAATAATAATAAATTATTTGAACACGAGAACTTACAATTGTTATGTATTATAGTCATCTTACACTTTTACAGTCAATATATTAAGTAGTGCTAAAAGATAATGTATGAATTAGGCAAAAGGATTTGTATTACTAGGCGAGCCGATTTAGACATGTTCCTTTGTCCGATTGAAACATAAGATCTCAGAGACTAAAACAGCCAGAGCCCCCAAATTTGGTGACAACTTCTGCATGAAAATAAAATGTATTTGGACGCGTCAAGTACTGTCCTCACTAAATTTGTTAAAAAGTATTTATAAAACTTTAAACGCCAGCAGGCATGCTACTATTCAAGAATAACCGCCGGATATATATTCTAGATCCGCATATATCTCTTCGTTTTTAGGTAAAATTTTATTACTGGATAATTTTTTACTTTTTCGACAAAGTCCTTTTACTTAAACTCCAATAATAGTTGACGAGTGGGAATTTAATAATTTCCTAGCCTTTTGTTTAGTTTTTTTATTATTGTTTTTAACATATTTTACATATGTAACTATAATGTTAAATCAATGAAACCATTAAAATTAATGTTATAATTGTAAATATTATTATTAATAATTAATTTTATATGGTTGTAACTATTAATAAATTAGAGTACTTAAGGTGGCAACATATGGATACCTATAAATGTGTTAACAAGAAAACTAAAAATTAAATTTTATTATGTTTTACAAATACAATACAATAAAAATAAACCCGATATGTTTGGTTGTTGAAAATAAGAAATTATGTCAATTTTTATGATATCAGCCAATAGCTTCAGGGAGTAATACTCAAGTCTGTTTTCCTCTGTAGAATAAATTATACCACTGTAGCTGCCACAGACGTTTAGCAGAGGTGCGAAAATATTTATCCAGTCAATGGATAGTTTAAATATTGGCAGGCCATCAGATTGAGTTAGCAGCGATCAATTAGGCCATCTTTGATTGGCATCGTTTAGCGACCAGAAGAGCCGTAATACCACGACCATCTGACGTCAAAGTGTCGCGTCGAGGAACTGCGGAGAGTGGTACGGATGTCAATAAAACTCCAAATAAAGAAGTCGTGACGGAGTCACCGCAGTCAACATTCGATTAATTCCCGCCCACCCATCACATTGCATTGGCACACATCCGCACACACATGAACATATGTATGTACATACATATGTACATATGTATGTAATCGCAGCTCCGATGTCTCGCTGGGGATTCACGTTGCAGCTAACTAGGCCTTTGGACAGCAAACGAGATTTTCAGATATTTTGCGGCGCTGCGTGATTTGTTTTTCAAGTTTTACTAGCATATTCGCACCCGACACCGACACCAGCACCAACTCCGTCCCTGCCTTCCCTGCCTCCGTCCCTCTGAGAGCCGGTCTATCAGTCTCGGCTGTTCATAGTCTGCGAGCGGGTCTCTTTTGGCCCAGGCTTGGCATTCGAGAAGTATTTTGACAAGTCATTGGTCTTGCCCTGGTCTGTGGCTCTGGCTGGAGCTAGGAATTTATAATGATTTCGGAGCAATCAACTCTACACGGAAAACAAAGCACTCGATATCGAGTTGACAAGCTCTAGGCCAATATGTGACTTAATTACGCAGCAAACCGTGCTGATTGCTGATTGGAAAATAATAACAAATCACAATCTGCATGCCTATTTCCAAGCTAAAGTGATTGCATCCCGCAGAACTAAACGTTGGCTCTCTTTAACACTCTGTACCGTTTTACAACTCGTCCGTAGAGATAACAAAGCCATATCAATAGAAAAAACAGCAACCTTGTTTAGCAATACTGCTTAAATGTACACATCAACAATTGCTTAATCTTATTAGAAGTGAGTCCCTATTTAAAGGTATTTTCATTTTGGTAAAATGTTTATGTATCTTTAATGGCAACGAATACAATTATGTTACTTTAAGGTATTCTTTGGTACACATATTTCGATATTACAAATATTTATTTTGGTGCATCTCTTAAGATGAAAATAATTTTATATAAGGTAGTGGTAGTGCTTCAAAATATATAGGTGTAATAGGTCTAGAAACATTAAAAAAGCTTTTGTTTTTGGAACCTTGTTTACCTTCAGCTTGCAGACCTGGAGTTCTTTCTTAGCAATATAATCTTCGTTTAATTAAGTTGATTTGAACTGAATAAAACGCATAGGAAACACTTATGTTATATGTATAAAGAATCAAGTTGATGGAGCTTCAAAAATCTTCACTTGAAAACAAATGAATAAATGATATCAATCCGTTTCCGCGACAGTATGTTCTATGTTTCCTGATATAAAGTGTCAACTTTTAAATAACACCTAAAAAGGTTAATTGTATCATGTTTGTACATCTTTTTTTCCTGTGTAACTGATTAATATTTGACAAATGAACTATTCGCAATCGGCTGAGAAAGCGTCTAATCCCAGCTACGTTATGGAAAATAACACATATGTATGTATACGCGGTTCGGACTCAGCTGAGCACACTCAGTAGCAGCTGCCAACTGTTTCCCGACTTCTAGCCGTATCTTTCGGCCTGAGCCGCCGAGGATGGTGCTTTGCCCGGCCAACTTGGTCAAGGTCGCTGCTCGCCGGGCGATGGTGATCATTGCCACATGAGTGCAATCGCCTGAATTCTAAGCGAGTTACAAGTATTTGGTTTACAACGAGTTAGCTACTGAAAATCATGGCTAATGGTCGGCGAGGGGCAAAGCTCGTTCAGCGCATTTTTCGGCGGACGGACGTGGACGTGCCTGCATGCCCAAGGCGTCTGTCCGGTTATCAGGAGAGTCATTGGCAGCGTGGGAGCTGGGGCGATGAGTGTGTGCCCAAAAGACCCAGTTGGATGTGGGTCCGGGCCGATTGTTAATGGCTAATCAATGGCACGAGCGCTGGCGGTCCCGACTAGGGCCATAAAGCGACGGCCGAAAGCGCCTTATCGCAGTGACGTCAGAGCGATTAGCCGTTTACACCTGCTAATGCAGGCTATCAAGCGCCGCCGTACTTCTGTAAGTGGCAGTTGTTGTTGGCCGAGTTCAACATTCGGCTTCAAGTGTGAATCTTCGGTCTCTCGGTTCTCGATTGTCGGCCGAACCGATCGTTTCGAAAGTGCCCTCGGGCGTGAATCGGATTGAACCGGAAACCCAGGGCGACGGCGTCGCAGCTGCTTTCGTTTCGTTGGGAAAAAGTTGTTAACAATCTGCCGACGCGTCGGCCAGCTGCGGGCCAAAAGCGAAAACCAAAGCTTTAACCGATCCGCCGCTAGCGGCCCACGATCACAAGCACTTTAGAGCGCGTCGCGCGCGGTTACTTGATCGGCAGTTATTTTTGTCAGCTTTCTGCGAGTGAGTGAAACGGCGAGTAATTCGATTTGACTGGATTCCGCGGCTAAAAATAAAACAGGAGGAAAAGTATGTCGATTTGAACTAGAGCAAGGACACTGTTAACTTTAGCAAGGACTCTTCCCCTTGTCAAGTCAAACAAACAGACGAGTTAAGAGTGGCGAATCGCGGTTAATTCTGTTATCTGCATGGCTAATCCCCAATCCGACCAAAAGCCTAAGCAAAGAGAATGCTTGATGAGCTATTGCCCTGCTAATAAAATTGTGTAATTTACAATTGCAACGCTCCTCAACGTGAGCTTTTATCAAAGAAAGCCTGCAAATATTAACATAAAAATTAAAAATTATAAAAACACTAAAAGAAGTCACGCTCGCTTTGCATGCTCAAGAAACAATTCGTTGTTTTGGGGACAAATTCCGAATTGGTTTGTTGCCTTTTAAACTCAGATGTATATGGTTCCGCGGTTTTATTGTGCTTTTTGCCTTGGTGTATAGCAAACTTCGTGTTCTAGTGACAGGTTGAAATTAATTGGGCTTTAATGACCTATACCATAGCGGAATGAATACAGTTTGAGGAGCGACCTTCGCATAGATGATTCAATGATTCAATCAAATAAAACTCAGGGATACACTCTTGTTTTTATATAGACAACTTGCCAACCATCGTCCGATAGAAATGTAAGGTAGCAAAAACAGGTTTCCATTATTAATTCAATTGTAATTACTTCACAAACAGACAGTTGGGAGTTTGCTATCGAGGGTATAATGACTTTCGCTTGGCACCCTTCAAATCGCCCAGAACCGTCTTAAATCTGCAGTGCTCTTGAACGCATACTCAAGTGTTCCGCAGTTTTACACCGATTTCATGGGCTAATCTGGACTTCCATCATTGAACCATTCCCGATAAGATAAAGCCAGGCGCGTGTTTCTGTGTCCCCTGAGGCGGCTTATCGACCTGTGGGGGTTAGTAAAGCCAAAGAAGGTGAAATGACTGTAGAATGGTTAGCTGATTAGTCTGATTAGAGCGAAAGTTGTAAATTTTCAAATTATTACTCGGTATTCCCGAACAAGTTATCAACTGGCAATCATTTAATGGTGCAACAATCGACTAAGTTTGCACACCTTCATTCGTTTCAAAGATACTAGCAGCACACGACAAAACGCACCTGTTCTTTATTAGTATCTAAAGAATATTCAGCTTTGTTCTTTTAAAATTCATTTAAAATTTTTGCGAAGGAAAATATCTGTTGCTAAGCTGCCCATATAATAAAAAGGTATTATACCTTAAAATAATGCTCATAAAAAAAATGAAAAAATATGTCCTACTATTATTATGTAAACAGAAAGGAAGCTAGCTGAACTGACTATCCAGATTTTCAAATAAAAAATACATCTACATAGACCGGAACGGTTACAAATTCCTGTCCGAAATTGTATTACATTCTCTAAAGGCCAAAAAAAGAATCACTTTAAATTAGAAGTATTAAACCAGAACCCACGGTAAATTTTTTTATTTCTTATCAAAAAAAACTTAAAAAATTAATTTTAAAATAATTAATTCCTTTTGTTATGTAAAATTTTTGTTTAAATCTATTCAAAATCCATGCCTATTGTTTCCGTGTATTAACTGAAATATGCAAAATAAGAAAAAGCTTAGAGCGCGGTTCCGAATTGATGACAGTGGCTGAAGTGTATTCAACGTTTATTTATTATATGTACATATGTACATATGGAGATGTTATTGACCTGTGATGAACACGTTTAGCGTAACGAGTTCCTTCATGCACAACAAATCAAAGATAAATCAAGTCTTCTAAGGGAGAGTGAATCAGGATTATCATAGTTCTCCCACAGCCTGCTTTCATTTCTCGGATGATCGCTACTGACTTAGCTGTGTGTTTGAATATTAATAATATGAAATCGGTAAATGAGCATGACATCTGGATAGAAGCTCCAACTGTGCCTTGGTGTCACAGCCGAACTTATCGACTCAAATGAGTTAATCTTGAGATAACCGAGTGCTGTGAAGTATATTGTTTCCAAAAATAAATCATCCATTCCGTGTCGCCGGGCTTTCGTTTCGATTTGCTCGCAAATTTTTTAAGGGTGGTGTTTTGCCAGGCTTAAAGCTTGACATTTTAACCTCAACTTGAATCCTTAAATTACAGAAATTTAAGAAATACAAATTAGCTTGGTTATATACATAATTTTAATGATAATGGTGAAATTGTCTAAAGAAATTTTAAAATATTTATTTTCGTATTCAACTCGATTCCAGCCATGACCAATTTCTGGAAGGCACTTACCCGTCGCAAGACGGACGACGTTAACGAGGGCGAGTCTAAGCTGGCAAGAGTCCTCAATCTTTTCGACCTGACGGCCCTGGGAGTGGGCAGTACATTGGGCCTCGGCGTCTACGTTCTGGCCGGTCAAGTGGCCTATAATATAGCCGGTCCGGCTGTGACCATTTCCTTCCTGATTGCGGCCGTGGCATCCGCTTTCGCTGGCATCTGCTATGCAGAGTTCGCTGCCCGTGTCCCCAAGGCGGGAAGCGCTTACGTGTATAGCTACGTGACCATTGGGGAGTTTGTGGCCTTCACCATCGGATGGAACCTTATCCTGGAGTACGTGATTGGTACGGCCTCTGTGGCGCGCGGATTGAGCGGTTACTTCGACTCTCTGATCAACAACGATATGTCGAAGGCTCTGAATGAGTCGCTGCACATTGATGTTGACTTTCTGGGTGACTATCCGGACTTTTTATCCTTCGGCATGGTGCTGCTGCTGGCGGGCATATTGGCCTTCGGTGCCAAGGAGTCCAGCTTTTTGAACAACATCTTTACTACAGTTAACCTGGTGACAATCGTCATTGTCCTAGTAGCTGGAGCCATGAACGCCAACGTCGACAACTGGCGCATTCCGGCGAAGGATGTGCCAGAGGGTTTCGGAACCGGCGGTTTTATGCCCTTCGGAATTGCCGGAGTCATGGCTGGTGCCGCAAAGTGCTTCTACGGTTTTGTTGGCTTCGACTGCATCGCGACCACGGGCGAGGAGGCCATCAATCCCAAGAGAAATATCCCGCTCTCGATCGTTGTATCGCTGATTATTATCTTCCTGTCTTACTTCGGCGTATCCACGGTGCTGACCATGATGCTGCCCTACTACCGGCAGGATAAGGACGCCCCCTTTCCACACGCCTTCGACGCCGTGGAGTGGTACACCATCAAGTGGATAGTAACAATCGGAGCAGTATTCGCGCTCTGCACCAGTCTGTTGGGCGCCATGTTCCCACTGCCCCGCATCCTTTACGCCATGGGAAATGACGGTATCCTCTTCAAAAAGCTGTCAAAGGTGCACAACTACACAAAAACTCCGCTCCTGGCCACCGTAGTATCCGGTATATTTGCCTGTAAGTTGTCTCTCACATACGTTTTCGCGTTGCACAACTTCTGACTTTTCCCCTTCCTCTTAGCTATTATGGCCCTGCTCTTCAATTTGGACCAGCTCGTGGATATGATGTCCATTGGCACACTGCTCGCCTACACCATCGTGGCTATTTGTGTGCTGGTGCTGCGCTACCAGGATGAGGAAATGACCAAGGTGGTGTCCGTGAAAGCCCCAAATGTCATCCGGCAGTTCTTTAACGGCAACTCCTACCGGGAGCCCAATTCGATGACCTCGGCTATTACCAAGGTGGGCATTGTGCTATTCGCCATAGTCTGTCTGGTGTGGTGCTCATTTCAGAAGGTGTTTGACCTGGACAGCACCGGCGGGATCGTCGCTCTGAGCCTGGTGGGAGCGTTGCTGATCCTCATCTGCATCGTGATCGGCATGCAGCCCGTATCCACAATCGAACTCACCTTCAAGGTCCCGCTGGTGCCGTTTGTGCCCTGCCTTAGCGTTTTCGCGAACTTGTACCTGATGTTTCAGCTGGACCTGAACACCTGGATTCGATTCCTCATCTGGATTGTGATCGGATACGTGATCTACTTCTGCTACGGAATGCGAAACTCCACACAAATCACCCGGGCTCGCAACCACGCCGAGGCTGCGTCCAATGCCTTGCGAGACCAGAACATGGGGCAACACGAGAATCCCGCCTTCGAGCCGGACTCCAAGGTGGACAACGGCCGCCTGCCGCCTCCGTACGAGTTCTCCGAGAAGCTGTAAGCGCGATTGTAGCCAAAGTATTATAGATCCATTACCCGAACACACTGCTTTAACGCGCTAACACTCCATTCAATTTCGCATCTTTCCCTGAATAGAACAAAGACTCCTCTGCCTTCTTAGCTAGCACGTTTATGTGAGAGAGATGAATAGATTGCGCACTGAAATTAAATGGATCCGCACTTTGCCAGCGTGTCCTGCGTGCCCCACCGTGCGGATCTGTTATTTCTATGCGCCTCAGGACTTCTACAGAGAGTTCACAACAGACTCTATTTTACCATTTCACCCTCGCTCTATCATTTTACTGTATTTTAAAATAACATTCAACCGCCAACCGATTCTTTTGCAATGCCCCGTTTTTTGTGATATTTGTAAATATACTTATATATGTAGATTTTACTGATCGAGTAGTATTTGTATATTTGTCACAATTGTTATCGTAATGTAAATGGAATTTTGTATCATAATATTTTATGTCGAACCCAAGGCGCATCTAGTGTTTAAGCTTCTTAGTTGCTAAGCCTCCACAATTGTTATTACCAGCCAAAAAGAAACGAATTTCGCTCTTTGCTTGATTAATAAAAATGCATTGATCTAAAGTATCTTGGAGTTTTAATTGAAACGTTATTTCGTAACGAGCCTCTATATTTGGGAGGTATACAAATATGAGCACTGTCCTCATAAATATGTATTTATCTGATACTCGAGCTATATATTTTATTCGTTGTGCGCTCAGTTGGATCACCCAGAGCCAAAGCTCCTGCTTAAGGATTGTGAAGACCCGCTATGTGCTCCTTTGGCTATTCCGTGGGTCGTGCTGTTCCGAGTCCAGAATCCACTCCTTTTTGCTAACCGGCTTAGTTAAATGGCAAAGAATGTAGTCCCTTTTCCCCGTATTCTTGCTTCCCCGTCTATTTTTTTTCTTCATTTTCCACTCTAATTTCTAAGCCTTGGGAAACTTCAAGAGTAAATAGTCGGGGCGGGTTGGGTCGAGCCGAAAAAATCGCAAACTCGGAGCCAAAAAGCCAGACAAAAGTTGCTTGGATAATGCAAACAAACACACAGTTGCAATCACATGTGAATGGATAGGACGCCGGGATCCTGAATATGCCAAGTGTAGAGCTTCATACCATCGCTGGATGGTCAACAAAGGCGTCCGATGGGAAAATACAATTGTTTTGCCCGGATTTTTCCTTAACCCCTTCTATTTCAATCTCTCTCCAGCACTAATTTATGCATTTTAAAAGCGAAGAAGGTGGAGGGATGGGACCAGGGACCAGGCGAGTAAAGAGGATATTGCGACGGAATTGTAATTTGACTTTTGTGTCTTTTCAGTGCACATATGCGGAAAAATGCTATTTTTCACATGCTTCCATTGCAATGCCATTGCGAACATAAGCCTTTCTACGAGATTGCCTTCATTTCTCTTTTACCCGCGTCAAAATTTGATTTTGGCGCCTTTGTTTTCTTATATATGTACATATGTATATAAAATATATACATTTTTGTACATATGTACAGTGATTGACCAGTATTCTTTTAAACTTTAAACTTTTTGCAGTGTTTTTTTTAACAATTTAAACAACAATATCTCCTATTTGTATAATTTTTTTTTACGCATTAATGAATTTAAAAATAAGCTTTTTATTTTGGAAATGTGAGTTTTTGAACTAATTGTTCTGAAGGGGAAATTAACTAATATTCTAAACTAATTTATAAATTCTACTAATGCAAAAGCAACTTATTTGGAACATTTACAAAACAACTAAAGAACATATACTAAACATTTACCATAACTAGAACCTATTCGAAAGAATAGAAGAATACCAAGAATACTTGGAACAGAATAAAATACGTTTTTTACAGTAGTATAATACCAATTCGATAATAATCGAATTACAACGGAATATAAATGTATTTTTCTATTTGCGTTATATTATAAAATTGTTCTGAGATTATTTACATATATTTTATTTTAAGGAAATGGTAGATGTCAAAAGTACACAATGCATGTATATAAGTCGTACAACTCCGAATACAGAATGCCTGAAAGTATGCTACTTGGTTTATATGAGCGGCCGCACAGAGAGCAATCCTAAATGTATGGCATGGATTTAATGCCCAGAAGACACTGTAAACATGGGACGCGTATCTGCCAGAGATTGGCACTTCGTATATGGCCAGATTCGATGGTGTGTGTGTCTCCTTTAAAAATGCTGACGTGTGTAAGTAGATAGCGAGATTAAATGGGCATGTTCCGCTGGTTTTGCGGATGCAATTTTCATTTTATCGATTCACCGAACCGCCCACGCCCGCCGTGTGCGCATCCAAATATGCAACACGGTTCGCTCGCGCTACACAAGGGCTCACATAAAATTTCCGGCCAAAAGTAGAGAGCTGTGAGCTGCAGTAAAGGTAAATAAATAAACAATAAATGCCTGAGATGGGCTATATAGGATTAGGGCCAAGAGGCACCGGGCTGCAGCGGGGCTTCTGCATTTCGGCCGTTTATTGCGCGCACGCTGCGTTTGTGGTTTCATTTGTGAGTTTTAATTAAATACTTTTAAATATTTGTTATTTCCGACAAGCTGACAAACCAAACGACCAGAGACAACAACAGCAGCAGCAGCAGCAGCATCAAGGGAAACAACAACAGACATACATACATAGATGAACAAGGGCGATGCAGGGGATTCCCCTGGCATCAGTCCACCTAGCAAATATTAGCGAAAAATTAGCAAAGTATTTTAAGCGCAACATGTTCGTCCTGCGGCTTTCAACACCACATGGCCCAGCCAGGACACCCAAGGGAGCTTGACGGACCGCGGGATTCAGCGGAGGACCGCCCCTCATTTACAAAGTTTTCGATGCGTGTGCATTTCATTTAGTTATAAATAATGCATAATTCATTTAAAATGCGTGCGTAAAATTGCTGTTAAGTGCTTAATCCTGTAAAGTTTAACAGGAAGCGCATCGTGCCAGGAGTTGTCGGGCATTGAGCATGACATGCATTTTTCATAAGCCTATCACCAAATCGGGCGAGTTAGCGGAGTTCCGGTCACACTGATGGCTTTCTTTATTTGTATGAATGTACATATTTGTTTTTAATTAGTGCGTCCATCTGAGAGATTGCCTATTTATGTTTTACCATCAATACCTCTGAATGAATGAATGAATGCGTTTCCATTTGCCACTCGAGCTTCACTTGCTCCAGTTTGTCCATTGTACACTCTCGCACCCTTCCGACCAATTAACTGAAAATGTCCATCGGGTAAATAGAATAAAAACCAAAATTGCTAATGATTCTGGTCACCCAGCGCCCACCACCCTGACCATGCCTTTGTCGAATGCAATTTAAATACATCACGAATTTTGTCAAAGTCAGAAAGTTCAAAATTTTTACATGCGGTCAACAAAATGAAATTAACTTTTGGCGCGAATAAATTTTCTATAACCGCAGAGCCAGGGAATAGTTTTTAAATATTACATTTTCTGCATAAACCGTGCATAGTTCTCAGGTGGTGGGGCCATGTGCACATAATAGGACTATCCACATCATTTTGGAAAATAATCCGGTCATTAACGTGAATTCGACTAGTATCTGAATGTTTTGTTAGCTTTGACCGAGCAGGGGAAATATATACCACAAAAAAACGTGGAAGGGCATTAAAAGGGTTTTAATATTTTAGCGGTCCATTCTTTTTTTCATATGCTAATCGGGGTAGAAACAGAAGAGGCTTTTTTCATTGCGGATGTTTGAAACACATAGATGAAGGATAACCAGACAAAACGTGGCATTTACACAATTAGGTTATCTGGATACCGTTTCTTGCCCCCCAAGTCCAGAAACATATACAAGTGCTTAGCAACATAGATACTTACTTTTTTTTTTTTAAATGAAAAAATGTGTATGTGGGATAGTTTACTCAAAACATAAAGAAAATAACAACATTTTACGGACAGCAGGCACCTGATGATGCATGAATTAAAAAGGATTCACTTGGAGATGCCGTTAAAGTACATTTTATTTACGGCCCAACGCATTGTTTCATCGAGCTACTTAACCAAATTTATCATACGCAATGAAGCCGGGTAACATTCGCGTTATTCAAAAATATGCGAGCGGTAAGCATGGTCATGGTAAATAAATCAAATCGACGGAATAAATGAACCGTGTGGTAAAGGCTGTTTATTTTTTGGTAGCCATAATGATAAGATCAAAAGCTCATAAAATTGGCTCAATGGGCAGTCATAAAAGAATAGCCGACATGTGGCAAGTATAAAATCGAAACACAAAATATGAACATGTTTCAACTTTATAAAGGGGTTGAGAAGGGCTGACCAATTTTGCATCAGGGACAAAAGGACCTTAAAATGAATTATGTTGTGCATATGAGTGAAGAACACATTTCCCTAGAACGGACGCTGATGGCAAACGCAAATCGGGACGGAATTCAATAACTACTGAAGCCCAGCCATTTATTAATCCAATGTTGACCTCGACTGTTCGCAATCCACTCAGCTGACCAAATTACTCTGTTGCTCGGCTGTCCAGTGCGAAAACTCAATTTGGTCCGGAAATAGCTCGTTCTGCAGTGGGTCCTGTTCGTCAACTGCCATCAATTTTGCTAACAATATTCACGCCAATTAACAAATTAATTGCCTACTTTACCGGGAACTGGGAACACTTGAACGCTCACACACACACAGACTCGCTGAAGGATGGGCACAGACATAAGCACATTCATACACGTGTATGTATGTTTTTGAATTCCCAGTGGCGTCTTAGTTTTATGGGCAAACACAACACGGCCACGAAGCAGAAACGCTAATGAAATTTCCAGCCCAGGCGCCGCCACGTTGGGTGGGTCTGAGGCTGTGTTTGCAAGGCTTTTAATATAATGACATATTATCATGACTGGCAGCGTTGTCAAAGGCAAAAGTAGGTACATACATACCTACATAGTCCTGTGCAACCCACAACGCCCTGTTGCCGAACACATAGGCAATCTAGCAAGTCGCTATAGATGAAACGATCTGCTTCAGTAGATTTAAAATTGCATTTATTTCTCAATTTATTATTGGAAAACAAAGTTAAAACTGAGTTAAACTGAGAGCTCTCTTTAAAATTTCTATGAAACTGCTTAATATAAATGGTTACAAAATGTTCTTAGACTTTAAGAGAACAACGAAAAATATAATTTTCTTTTTATTACTTACTGCAGGAAAACCCTTAAAGCGCTTAAAATTGCCTTTGAGAGGCGAAATGGCAGAGCTACCTTCCCTCGTCACATATGATGACTGGTGATAAAATATTCAGCAGGAGCATCGCTTTTTACAGCAATGACAGTATCAACAGAGGCAACAACAATGTAGCCGCATCCATTTAATTTCATTTTAATGCACCTCATATCCTATGAAAGTGTCCGTCCTTCTCATTGCAGAGCGAACGCCGCAGGCATTGTCCTTATGCGGAGCGCAAACAATTTCGCTTTATCCGGCAATCAAATAATTGCGAAGGAGAGGACGGTGGCACAGAGACAATTGAATGCCAGAAACCTGCTTAATGTATAATTTTTGGCCAAATTGCATGTTATTGTT